GAAACAGCACATAAAATGTAAGAATTCAGGACAGATACTTTTCGTCTATTGCTGCCTTCATTCAGGTCTAATTGGAAGCAATAATACTTATTCAAATAAATCATTTGACCACTTGAAAGAAGCTCATAGAAATACTAATCCTACACATCTTATTCTTTGAATGAAGGCTTGTTCTTTGAAATAATTAGTAATTGTTTATTTTACTTATCCAACAATCTCTTGATTTTTTTGTATTGTTGTAAAATATCCACTTTTCATTGTTTGTCAATGATTTTAATATTTTGAAATCACATACTAGTAATAATACAGTCCAGTTGTCTGTTGCTTTTTCTTATGTTGAAGTTAGTAAAAAGCAACTTATAACCAAGTTGGTGCAAAAGATTTTCTCTTTGATTTGAATATTTTGAGTGTGTTGGCTATCTCCTGTGTCGTGAAACATTCAAATTAACGTTTTGCGTTTTCAACATCTACATCTCGGTCTACCCAACCATGGAGTATCATTCAGAAACACTCTTGCATCGATAACATTGAAAATTACATAAAAAAATATATACTTGATTGGCATAGTAATAAATTAAATTATTACATATTTTAATTTTATTAATATAAATTGTGATTTTTCCTACCCCAAATTATGACATTGTTTCTGTCCATGGCTACTGGAAGTCAAATATTTTTTTTAAATTTAATTTTCAGTAGGTTTCTGAAAAATTGAAATAAAAGTACGTTTTTACTACTGGTGTTTACATAAAACTGTAAAAATACGATTAAAAAAACTATTAACTACTGTAAAAAGTGGTAGTCACGGTTTATTTGGTAATGCTAGCTAAATAAGTCACTTGCTATTTTTTTTTTTGCTTACAAACATGGTGAATATGTCAGCATCTATATCTCAGATATTTTTAAAAAGTACTTAAAAATGTCTAGACGATTAAAAAGAAAATTATTGATTTTGAATAGAGATTTTGATTAATGTTTTTTTAACCATTAAAATTTTATGTTATTAAAGTTCACAAATTTGGATTTGAAAGTTCACTCTGAGTGAATTTCAGCGTTGATTATTAGACAGACACAGTGGAGAATGTTATGAGGCAACATTGGCTTGGCGCTTTAAGACGCATCTGCCATTTCTATGAATCTTTTTCAAATTCTTTTGGCGCGCAGACTGATCAACACCTGGACTTCGCTTAACAAAGAATAATTGTTGTTTTGTCAAGTTGTCTTTCTCCTAAATTATTAGAAATAAACGGGATTAAAAAAAAATTATATATGTTGAGTTGATTGCTAAAAAAATAATTTGAATTTTTCAGTTACCATTGATTTATTTTAAAAAATACTTGTATATCGTATTTTTACGACAGCATTGTTTGCTGTTTTCAATGCATTTTTGTTGGAGTTGTTCAACCAAAAAGATAAGGATTCGGAGCAATACGAAAACTCAAGCACAAAAAAATATTAAGGATGGTCACTCATTCAAGGGGAATGTATTTTCCCCCCATTTTCAAATAAACGGCTCCTCTATCCTGTAGTCGAGATTGAAACCGTATCTATCTCATCAATCAATGTGACTAGTGCTACAATACATTGTCCCTAATTGAATATTATTTCTAGCGGAAAAAAGATAATTCTATAAAAATGAATAATAAACAATATCAGTCATGTTTTAAAATTATATTTTCCTATCAAAGGCGAAAAGGACATTATTTCTAAATTTTCTTCGGATTCTGTGTTAAAGTGCATACATTTTTATTTTGTAATGTTTATATTCCTATTTTTATTTTTCATTCTTTTTATTAAGTGATTTGCTAGTCATTTGGACACAAAAAACTAAGTAGATATAATTAATAGAAAAAATCTTATTAGTTGCATTTTTTAAATTCTATTTTCATCCGTCTACCGAAGTCAGAAATCTTTTTGACCGTCATTACTTTTTCAATAAATACAGGTAGTCGGTTGGATTTTTATGAAATTAAATCTTTTTTGCATCTTCTTTTATGTCGAAACAACTTTAACAGAACATAATCTAAGCACGACTTGCTTTTTAATTTTGAATGTGAGTTACTTTTAGACACCATGATGAAATCAAATCTCATTTTATATCCGGGAAAAATTTGTAAATAATTTTAGTGAAAACAATTGACCGTATGTATTCAAAAACCTGCAAGAAACAAAACTAAGTGACTTATTTAGTTTACTAAGCACCCAGTAAGTACTGAACTCACTAGAGTAGTAATTACGAGTACAGCTTGTTATCAGGTACACAAATTAAATTATCCATCTCTGCCATTGTTAGTGATTATGAAGAAAATGGGGGGGGGAATAAACTAAACATTTAAGAATCATTTAAGGTAATCTTCCCCATAAAATATTGTGATTACATTTTTTTTTACCTGTTTCAAACCCCAAAAGATCAATTTTATAGTGAAATAAAGTAAAAACAGGGATTAAAACTTAATTTGTGAAAATTATATAAAATCGATACTTTTAAAAGAAGTTAAAAAAAAAAGAAAAATTAAGTGACCGATAATCAGAATATTTTTTTCTTCCTAAGACACCACTATGTACTTAAAACCATTTTCACCATACTCTTTTTGTGATTAAATTTTTTAATTAGGTATGTCCGTAACAAAATAATAAATTTCTATTAAATAAGCGCCTTGACACGAGACACTTAATAAATTATGGTAACAAAATGAAATAGTTTTGTAGAAAATTAGAAAAGAATGGAAATGTTACAAAAACAAATTTAGCCGCCGAATGTGTTAAATGATTTTCATTGGTTGAATCAAACGCACAGCTGATAAACATTCGCACGAGAATAATAACATTCAGATTCTCGTTTATTTTTATAGTATTTTTTCTTTTGTTTTAGTTTTCATTACACATTTTACTGTTCTATTTATTCTTTCTTAAATAAATATATGTTTATTTTATAAAAATTAAAAATTATTTTTTTTTTATGGGGGAGCGAGATTTGGCGATGTGCAACTAGCAACGCTTCTGATTGGTTGTTGCTGTTAACGTTTCCAGTTTGAACCTTCAACCAAATCTTATGGCGCTGACTACAACCGGCTTTGTATTTTCTTGGTCAGCTTTTACATTCTCCAAAATTGTCTGTGTGAAGTAATTGAGCATTTGCTGTTTATTTTTGATCACTTGACTTCTACAATTCGTGTATAACCAATATTTTTGCACATACCCACCGAATAAGGTACATCTTAATTTTTTTTTTTAAATTTTGCGCACATGACAACAAGCGTAAATTCAACTGACAAATCTTCATTCGTCTGAAAAATTTAAAGGAAAATTTTTAAATAGTAAGTTTTAATGTTTTTATGTACTACTACATTGATTTTCTTAACTTTATACTGTGTAAATATTGAACAATTTTTTTTTTGTGTAAACATTTTAGAAATTTTTTTTTTTTATCCCTCTCAAAAACTTAACTCTTTCACCTCCAATATTTTTTCCATCTTTTTGATCAAAAATTTATTTCTAGTTGTGTATGTTTTGATTTGTTTGTATTTTATTTAAATAAATACAATTTAGTAATATAAAAAATGCTTAAATGATTTCATTTTAAAAAATATTTAGTCTCCATGCAAAAACTAATAGATTGAGTAGACGACCCTTAAACATCATAAGTTGGTTGAAAATAAAAATATACATTTATTAAAATATTAAATAAGTTGCCGAAAAAATATTTAAAATTATTTTTATTTGCAATTATATACGTAGAAAAATTCCCAAAGCTTCGTAACATTCTTTTGGTGCATTTAACTCCCGCGCCATTTTTTCCCTCCAGAAAAAATCCCCCACTTTAAACTTGTATTAATTATTCACTGTCGTATTAATAATTGAACTCTTTACTGATTCAACAAAAATACTTTCTCATTTGTATTTTCGTTACTTTATATCCAGTAAAAGTCACAGGTATAAAAACTTCCAACTCTTTCTTTAGTCCTCTGAAAGGTTCGATACTTTTTTTATTTCACTTCGAATTTGTGCAGTTTTCGATTTAATGAATTAGATCGTCTATTTACCTCAAGATTTTAAATGTTTAATACATCATTCTATTTCATTTGAAGAACTGTTTTGGCTTTTATTCATTTTTCTCGATAAAATTACGTTGATCGTTTGACAGTCAAACGAAACTTTAATTTCTTTTTAATTGAATTAGAGAAAGATTCATACAGTGAGTAGCAAATTCAATATCTATTGATTGTGCTATATAGTTTGCCTTTTTATAAAGCACATTTAAAAAAAATTTTTTTTTTTTTTTTTTTTTTTTTTTTAAAACAACTATCGGAATTTTATTTTCTGGCAATATAAATGGATTTGTAATCAAAATTAAGGTTTATTTTATTGTAGAAGCAAATAAGTATCTAACTTTCATGGATAAATTTTATTTTTTAAGTCTAGAATTGACTCGGATTTGATAGTCCGTTTGGTAAATTAAAAATCAAATGCCATAAAAATGATAAAACCCTTTTTTTTTTTTTTTGCAGAAAATGGCCGCAGTTGACATAACTCGTGATTATTTCAATTCATTGAACTGTAAGAAAATGACAGGGTATAAGGGTAAATGTCATTCTGGTTTTAAGAAGTCCAATTTAACAAAGTCACCGAACGAGACTACAGAGATATTGGATGACAGCGGTTATATCAGCCCCGAATTCCTGCCCATAACCCCATTTCATCCTAAAATTGAAATCCAGTATGTGTCTATGAATGTATCAAACCATCGGAAAGTTGTGCATTCTGTGAAAACTTGGGAAGAACCAGAAGAGGAAGATGTGGCAGGAAAGATGCAGCTGAGAAAAGATCGACCAGTGTGGAAGAATAATGTCCAGCTTGAATTAAGTTGGTTGAAATTCACTAAGAAATTTGCAGAAATGTTTGATAATGAAAACATCATTGGCAAAAGAATTGGTCGTCAAAATTGCAATATTATTTCCAAACTACATAAGAGAAATGTCAATGACTTCCTAACCAAATTAATGGTTTATATGTCACCCAAAGACATCTGCAAGTAAGTATCATTTCAATTTTAAAACTAAATTTTTGATTTACCGGTTAGCTTTTCCTCGTATATATGAGGCTGTGTTGAAAAGTTAAGCACCCAACAGTGCTCTATAAAAGACAAATAACTGATGTTTGGGAAGTGGGTTAAGCCGAGAACTTTTTAGCAACAGCTCATATAGCTGGTTTCTTAAAAGTACCTTTTCTAAAATCGGATTTTTCATCAATGCTTACTACATCGTATATTCATCAAAGTTTGGTACAAATTGTAGTTTTATTTCATTTTTTGTTTAAAGCTGAATATTTGTGTGCCTGTTTTCTGTGTTACATAAAGTTTTATTTATTAAAAATTATTCTTTCTGACAGCATGTGCTTGGTGAACAAAAGCTGGTTAGAATGTTGTAAAATGAATCCTACAGCTCAGCAGAAATTGAAAGAGTTCAAAAAGTCCATGAAAATCAAACGCAGCCAATCTAACAAAGTGAGTTTTTCTCAGAATTTGTATTTGTAAGAATACACTTGAATGTTGGTTACTGATTTGTTGGATGGCAGTGTGGATGAATAATGTCCAGCTTGGACTAAGGTGCTAGCAAAGAATGGACTAATCCCCATCACAAAAGTTAATGTCCGCATTTATTAGATATCATGAAGTGTCATATGGTCAAAAGTCAAATCTTATTCCATTTAATTTGTATCATTACTTAGCAACTCAAAAATATTAAAACTTTTTATCCTTGGTTAAAAAGTACATTTCTATTAATCTAATGTAATTTCTCTTCAAGTGTAGTCCTTTATAAAAACCATTAGGTTGTTTTGTTTTTTTTTTAATTTTGCTCAGACTGTTGCCTTTATTTCCTTTGCATGTTAAACAAACTTTATTTTCTACTTTGTAACTGATTATTAATATTTGTTACTATTTATTTGCAGGAAAATATTATAAAAGTGGCGCTTGAAAAAACAAAACACAAGCCTAAGCGCCTAACAAAAAGTGAATTATTTAAACAGGTTAGTCTTTAAATTATTTTCCCTAAAAATTAATCCAGGCTGCAAAAACAAACTTATATGCTGTATTTTCATATGTATTTATTACAGATTTTATGAAAGGAGGTTGTGTGTGTTTGTTTTGTTTTGTTTTTTGTGTGTAAATGCATCCTGGAAACCTGCAAACCACCAAATTAATACTGTTCAGAACAAAGACTAGTTTTGGCAGGATCCTAACAAAAAAAAGAAATTGTAATAAGATGAAATCTTTTAGATAAGAATGATAAATTCTAAATTTATCAAAAAGATTTATGAAAAGAGTTTGCTTTTTTTTCTCTCTCTCATATTTTTAATAGACTTTTTCTCTTCTTTTCAGTGTGCAAATACATTAAAGAAAGATGAATGCTTACAGAAATGTCCCAAATGTGATCATCCAGCCAAAGTGAGACCTGTTCAAGAATGCGGTGTTTGTATGAACAGCACATGTGGCTATCATTATTGTTCCAAATGCCGTGCAAAATACCATGGTTCGGACTTATGCTTTCAGGTGGGCACAAAACGTTTAACCAAGGAGATTGTCAATACTCGTACAGCAAAGAAATATTTAAGACGACTTTAACTTGTCTCAAAATGGATTGCTAATTAACAGGATAGCTAAATCTGAGCTGCTTGGTATTCACTTCAAAATGAGTACTTGCCGTCAGAGGTACATTGCAGGACTAAACTGTAAGCCAACCTGTCTGAGTTCTTCTTTTCACTTGTGCTCTATTCTTTCGAACCCTATTGAACAATACTGAAGGAAGAACAATTTAAAAACGAACTGATGCATTTTCAGCATTCTCCAGAAATTAATCCGAAAGAAAAAAATGTGGACGCAGCTAACCAAATGATCACTTGATTTCGCTTGGATATATTGTGGACCAAAATTAAACTGAAGTCTTTCATATTTCAATTGCTAAGTCTGTGATATCAATAACATCACCAGAAGCAGCTTGGTGATGTATAGGGGGTGGGGTGATACTGATGTAAATAAGATCAATTCATTTTATATATTTTCCTTGTTTCTTTCTCTTTTCTCAATTATGTGTACCAAGACTTAATTACAAGAACATATGATCATTTTACAGAACATTCTTCATCACTTCAATCCTATTTACAAATTTTCAATATCTTTTCTTAACTCATTCCATCTTTCATGCATCTTCATTTGAACTCTTTTCATTTCTGCTAATATATATCACCACTTGATCCTTTCTCAACAAGAAAACATTCTAATTGTTTCTCTCACTGTCACTTTTTCTAGTCTGTTACTTGAAGGCATATTTTTAATACCATACAAAAAAAAAAAAAATTGTAATTCTATATGCCAATAGACATTTGTCATTTCTCTTTTGTGTGTGAATGTGAACTCGAATGTAGCCAAGTCTCTTCTCTCTATCTTAATTTCTGTTTAAGTGAAGTTTGTCTATCTTGGGATAGAACTCTCACAGAAATATTCTAACACACACACACTCTACTTGGATGCAGTTTCATATTTAAACTGAAGAGTTTGAGATGTTATTGCAGCATCTGACTTCTAATAAACTTTTTTTTTTTTTTCCAACTCTTATTTATTATTTTTATTTCCTTGAAGCATATTCAAGTAAAATCTTATCAGCAAGAAAACTAGTTTACCCTTTTTCTTACTGGAAAATCTTAACTTTGCTCAAATATTTGTAATAATTTAATTTCTTTGTTTATAGAGCAATGTACAAGAAATTGCTTTGTATGATTTCATTGACATTAACATTTGTAAATGATGACAATAAAATGCCCAGTAGTTGAATATAACTCCACTCATAATTTGCCCAGGTTTTTAATCAAAGTATAAAAATTTTCATTTTAATCATCTACATAAAGTTTTCTCAATGATAAAAGTATTTGGTAAATTTTTATATATAACTAGACATTTAATTTTGTCTTTTCAATAAAATTAACTGATTGATTTTTTTTTTTTTTTTTTTTTTTCCTCTACACTTTTCCATGTAAAATCTTACAGCAAACGATTTCCATATTGACATCTAAGTATTTGTATAATAAACTTGAAAGAAAGATTCAACCAGTTTTAGAGTATATTATAGAATTGTTTTCTAATCTCCAAAGCCCAACGAATGATACATCATACAAAAAAAATGCAAGATGTGCTGTTATTAGAAAGTAATACTTTAGGACCTTTTGGGATTTATCAAAGCCAAGCACATTTATCAATGTTGAACTTTAACATTGAATGGCAGGTTAGAATGATAGAAAAGTATAATGGTGAATCTTTGAAATTGCATATACATCAGAATCATGTCAGTTGGGAAATTTTTTTTTTTTTAAATCATCAAGCAGCACTTGGCACTTTTCTAGTGTTTCTTCTGCGGTTGCAAAGTTAAAAATTTGTAATTGCATTTGTTTTCTCAGTAGGTAGGATCTAATTCACAAAGAATGAAGTCATTTATTGGCATTTCTAAGATAGAAATTGAGCTTTTTATGCAGGAACTAAATATGAGATCTTTGTAAGACCCTATTACTGCTATAGTTATTTAAAATTTACCTATTTTGTATGAAATATTTTATGGCTTTAATTACAATTATAAAATTTTCATTGTACAAGTTATGGATATTTATTTTAGTTCATGTGCAGGAACATACAAATCATTTTTATTATAAATAGAGCTACAAAAACATTGAGTCCTCATGCAATTCTGGTAAATATTTTTTATGCAGAAAACTTGTTTCTGAATGTCCTGTTGGGTTTTTCATTAACTGTGTGAGGCATCTGACATTTCTCATAGCCTTTGTAAAATGTTATAAAATTTTCAATAAAGATCAAGCAACTAAACTACGCTATAACTTTTTTTTAACTGTTTCCATTTTGTAATTCTATAATTTTCCTATTGCAGTAACTTCAATAATTAAGTATAAACATTAAAAAACAATTGAGCAAAAATGTAATGCAAGTTGACCAAAATCTATTTTAAGTTGCAAGGTACATTTTGTTTTTGTAGTTGACATTGTTTTATTAAACCAAGTAGCAAATAACTATATACTCTCAATTTAACTTAACAACTGTCACTGAGTTACGATGGAGTAATCAAATATCAATAGAAAATTTATGAAGTTTTACTAGTATGGAACTAATCACTAGTAATTTAAAGCTTCTATTGCAGTTTCTGCTAACCAATAATTTCCTTAAATAGAACTTTCATACTGATTTTTCTGAATACATTCACACACATTTAACTTTGTATGTGGGGGGGGGGTACTGAAAGATTTTGACTAAATCAAAATTTAGAAATTCCATATGAGTTAATAATACTCATTGAATGTTTTATCATTAAACTTATCACGAGTGACTTCCCTCTACCTATGTCTATGGACAAATGTAGCTCCCTGAGTAGAGACAACTATACAGTTGGCATGGATGAAGTCCTATTTATTTGTGTGTTTAGTCATTTAATCCAGACGTTATGTAATCTGTGTTTGATTATTTGGTAGGAGAAATTTACACAGGTATCTTGAGTAACTTTTGCATACCCTTGGGTCTGTATATCTCCTTGTACTGTATTCATTTATGAGAATGCAATATCCTGACAACAGTGAATGGCCACATGTGACTCTTGAACGAACACTAGAATACTTACAGATTTTTAATAAAAATAATGCAAACCCCTGTCCCTCTTCAAGTTACCTCATTTCTTCTGCTGGTCACTAAAAGTAAAGATTGTGTTCAATTGGAAAAGGAGTTTACCTTTTTTTTTTTTTTTTTTTTTTTTAGTTGAAATGTTTAACTCTTAGTGCCATATTTTATTAAACATGTAATTACAACAATGAAAATGTGAGAAATGAAATGAAAGATAATGACAACAATAAATTCTGAAACTTGCAATTAGCCTGTGGTTTTCCAGCCAATGCCTCTCCACTGCAAGGATGTGAAACAAATTTGGTCTGCATCATCTAATGAGCAGATTACTACAGTCTTTCGAACACTCGTTGCTAGCCTTTCAATAGCTGCTATATCCAAAATTTGTACTTTTTTTGTGTGAGGCATGCAACGAGCAATAAAAAAAGAGTGAAACCTTGCAGGATCACCTAGAAAGAAAGGAGAGAAAACAAGTTTAAACCTCAAAACAATTTCACTGGACATTATGAATGCATATTGCTATAAGTTTTTCCAATAAACACTAACAAAATCTTAATTTCTCCAAGTGCACAAAGATAAATAGCGAGTCTATATGAATATTCTTAAACTTAGTTTTGTTGGCAGTTTTTTAGTTTTCACTCACTGTTTTCAAATGTATTACAGATGCTTTTTCTCAAGATTTTATTTTAAGGAAATCATTGTATTTTCCAAACCTGTCTTTGATATCAATCTTTACATTATATTAAGCCATTTTCCGTCGGTAATTTGATCAGTTCCGCAGTTGAGCCAGGATCTGGGACGCAGAGATGAAAAAAAATAGTTAAATATTCTCTTGCTGATAGATTTTTTTTTTTTTTTTTTCTCACTCCTGTGGCAGTGGAGACTTCAGGGGTTATTGGCCCTCGTTTGATGGCGTTCCCTCAGAGGATTGGCGTGACTGTGTCTCGATTAAGGGACGAGCCTCGCAAAACGGAGTGGCTCTTGCAGCATGTCTCACTCGCCATGGTTCGAGGTAATGCTTTCTCCATTATTGCAGCCGGCAGAGGATAGCAAAAAAATTGTTTGTTGTTCTGGAATTGTCATCAGTGGTCAACTGTACTTGTTTTATTAAGCCATACCTTTTCCTGATTTTCAAGAATTTCAAATATTTCATTTATATTTATACATTAAAACTATTACTCGAGTTTTTACTTAAAAAGTGTATAAAAATGATTCAAGCCTGATCTTGAAGTAATTTTACAAATAAATTCAGATTATTGGTGGATGGTGTGCTTTATTCAATAAGTATTATAAAAAATAAATTCTGGAGTGGCTTCTATTTTTAATCAATTTAATTAAAATTAAGTACAGATGCTGAAATAATATTAAATAGTAAATCAAGGTTTAGCAACCATCTTGTCAAATGAAACAGACCATTGTCACTAATTACATTCATTTAACACTTTTCATTTAATCTGTTGTCTTATATTGTGAATTCTTAGTACAGGGTGTAGCAGAAATGCCTCCCAGATACTGGTAAGACATTAGTGGCAATAGAGTCTTATACTTTCATGTGGGAGGTATTTCTGACACTCCCTGTATATTGTGGGAGGTATTTCTGACACTCCCTGTATATTGTACTTTAAAGTATCATACTGATACATTTTAAATTTGATTTTATTCTTTAATTAAACTTCCGGATGAGGTATTCTCAGGCTATTGCCTCAACTCTGGGGATTTTGATACACCTCTTATTTATTTATTTTAAACCCATTAAGAACTTGCAAGAGGGGAAGTGAGAAAAAGTGATCATATACACCCAAGCAACTGGGCCAAATTATTAAGGATAGTCAGAACCTTAAAACAATGATTTTTAACCACATTTACAGAAGTTATTTTTTTTTTTTTTACCTGGATACACAAGGAAGTCACCACCAAATTTGGATCCCTGTGTCAAGAAGTATCCTTGAGTCCAAAATTCTTTAAAGACACGAAACCGCAAATATTCCGTGGAATTTGTTGGAAATTTCCATTCGGCTTCTTCAACATTTTGTCGTATCCATGGATCTTCTGAAAATGATAAAACCATCAGAACAAATCTTTTAGTAAAATGTTTTCAATTGTATATGCTAGCTATAGACACAATTGGTGAAAGAAAAACAAAAAAAGGAATATTACACATGGAATCTGGAAAATTCTGTAGGTGTCACTGAAGTTAGCACAGTAAAACAAAAAGATGTTAAGGAATGGAGTGGTTTCTCATAATAGCTAATGAAGTTATAGATTTCATTTCAGACTTGGCTGATTTTCAGTGCAAGATTTATCACACAGCTAAATATAAGTTATTACTTGTGAAAAAGTTTATGAATATATTTGAAATTCTATGAGAAAAGAAACATAAGTGACTTACAAAATTGTTATGAATGTTAAAAGAAAACTTGAGTTAGTATTTCATAGCTAATTTTACCTAAATATTTCAACATTGGTATATTGCATACCTCTTTATCGTAAGATCATAGATTCAAATAAAGTCAGGGTTCACTTAATTTTATAACAATAATATATCATTTAGAGTTTACTTTAAGATAAATTAGTGTTTCCTTGAATACAACATTGGACAGGAATATTTTTTCTTAGTGAATTTTTTTTTTGTATTCACTGTTAACATTTTGTAGCTGTTCAGATTGTGGACCTTGCTAAAAGCTAGACAGGCAATGCTGGAATTTGTCTTTTAAGGATAAAAGAAAGGTTTGTGTTACTTGGTATTATAGCAGTTCTTTGATGTCAGGTTTCTTACTTTCACTCAGTTGGACAGCATGGATAAATTTTGCAATACTTTAATAATAACAATGTGCTATTTAGCAAATGTTTCCATACATTCAAATTATGTATTAAACTTTATGATGGACTTCCTTTTCAATTTGATCTCATTTGAACAGAGGTCAGATAAATGCAAAAGTGTTCAAAAATTCCTTCAGATAATTTTTCTTTTTCACTGCCATTGAATATGGAAACCAGCACTTGTAAGACATTTCTTCTCCATGAAGCAAATAATACTTTATTTTTTTTTTATGGGAAGACAATTCTGGAATTTTTTCATTTATAAGCTTAATTGACTATTCATAAACTTCTGCAATAGTTTCAACAAAAGCCAAATCATGAGCTGTTTCTACTCTCTATCACCATCATTATTTGAGTGCGTTTACATTTAGCTCTGGCTTACATGTATATATGCTTGGATTTAAAATTTGCATAAAGAGGAGACTTTTTTATTCAGTTTTCAATATCAACATTAGATCCTTTAAGAATCACATTTACTGTTTAACAAACATCAACTCCAAATAGGAACATTTTTCAACCAAAAGGGAATTTAATTTTTATATCAATAGTATGCAATGCATTTGCAGAGAGCATGGAGGCTTCTGCAGCTATTATTATCATTATTGTTGTATTAGTAATTAATGGTAACTGCAGCATTCTCTGAAGGTATTCTCATTAAAGAAGTTCATATTTCTAAAATAGGTCTCAGTAATTTAAATCCAGCACCATTATTGTTCCTTTGATCATTGGTGTACAATGCGTACGCCATAGATGTTTTCAAAATTGATATAGCTATTATGAAGAATGTAGTCTGTGCTAGTTAATTTGTGGCATTTTAGGATTTGGTGGAAAAATTTAGATTTTCTTCAAATGTAGTTTTTGTTCCAACTTGAGTCCAGCTAATTCTTTCATTGGCTTTAGACAGGACAACATTGTAAGTAATCTGGCCAATATGAAACATTGGATATGTCAATATGGCTATTTGTAGCAATGGGTAATGAAGAGGACTCCATCCTTAAATTGTGTGAAGCTGCCGATTACAATAAAGAAGAAGGGTATCTATTGGAGACTTGCTCACAAGTACATCAGAAGCATAAATTCAAACAAATCTATTCTGTTCTAGGGAAAACAGTGGAAAGATAACTCAGTACATTTTAATGTCATAAATATTCAAGTTGATTTCATGTTATCTATTAGATGTTTAACATTTTCTATATTTATAGAGGAAGAGTGCTCAATACCAGAGTATTTGTAGATATAAGCATAGATGATCTGAAGATCACTTGAGGCATGAAACTGACAGTCACCATGCAGTGTAGATTTCTATGTCAACACTGAGTGAGTAAATGTATGAGTGAATGCTGAAAATTCTTAGCCTAAAATTCTTCTCAAATTTGATGTGTGTGTGCATAAGGAATGACATCTTTGCACCAGAAGAAATTAACAGAGGACTGGTTGGAATCAAAGATGAGATGGACATATTTTTATTTAATTTTTTTAAATTCTGATCAATAAATGTCAGGAGAATAATAAACCATGACATGAGGGACAACTGAAGAAGTCGTTAAATCAGTTGCAGTCAAAGTGTTCTTGATGTCAAACTGTAGCAGTTAAGAAATTGTGTATGGCATTAATTAAACATGTCAGTTTAATGGAAGGATGGGAAATGAAAACTAGATGATCTCAAATAGAAGCCTTAGAAAGATGAAAGTTCTCTGGCACTGCTGAAGGGATATATACACCAACCTGTAAAGAGCTGGACAACTGAACTACTTTCTTTGATTGGAGCAATTTCAATGTCATCAATATTCACTTGAATTTCTTTCTCAAATTCTGTATCGTCCACTTCCATTCCATGCTGTTTTTGTTCCTCTAAGAGCCGATTACGTTTAGCCTTCCTGCCTTTGGCAATGTTAGATAAGTTTCGATGGATATCGAGTTCTCTTTCACGTTTGCATAACGGAATCTTTAAAAAAAAAAAAAAAAAAAAAAAAAAAAAAAAAAAAAGAATAAATTTATATGCAGGATCGAATGATTTACATCAAAGGCAAAGTGATTGAAATAAAATATTGAATAGGTTCAAGGAACATAGAAGAAAAAAAAAATAGACAAGCTCTGCATATATTATCCAATTTAGTAACATATTGGTTAAAAGCATTATGCACATAATAAAAATTAAATGATTCATGTTCAAGGCTAGTCTCCATTTCAATTTTTCACAATTCAAGAAAATTCTATTTTGATAAATTTGACTCAAAACTGAAACTGTCACAGGATTTTGAAATAAGTCTCAAAATCCTTCCTAGAATATTTAAATTTACTAAGCCAATTAAATAATTGGTCAATTCTATTAAATTGATATGTATACATCATCTCCAGTGTATCTTTAATTAGTAGCTTTCTTGTTCTGTAAAGGTTTGTGATAGACAATATTTATATAGATATTGTTTTGCATATCATTATCTTTCAATGGGATGATTAAAAATATGTTAAACAGGAGTTCTGTTTTCTAATAAAAATAATCTCCTAGAAGTGTTGACATTTTTTTTTTTTAATCACCTGTGAAAAATTCCAAGAATGCTGACAGGAAGTGTTTTGAAATCAAATCAGTTCTGCTTTTCTAATAAAGGCATTACCATACAAGTATTGATTTTTTTTTTTTTTTTACTCTGTATATATAACCATAGACACACACATTTTTATCACTTTAAATGTCATTTTTAGTAGATAATCATATTTGAGTAGGTGCTCAATTTATTTATTAAACAGTCTATTTGTTCTTGTCTACCAGCCTGAACGTTCAAGAAATCTTATTGTGAGGAATGAGAAGACTTACCTCCCGCAAAGCGAATTTGCTTGGCATGTCAGGTCCTGTTGAAAGATTGCGGGCGGATGTGCAGAGGGAAAAAAAATTAATAATAAAAAAAGACTAAGAATTCAAACCAGCTTGAATTTATAAAATCGGAAGTCTCGGGCAAACGAGAAGTAAGTCTTGTAAGCAAATTGTGGTTGCCCCCGACACGGGCATAAATAGCGAGTCTGGGAGGAAGACGACAGAGTGCATTATTGGCATGACGGCATACTGACGAGACTGAGAGAATAAGAGGTCACTAGTGACAGCTCAGTTGGTAGACCAGAGGACTGGACGAAAGCAAGCACTTTAATCTATTTCAGTCATCGCAAACGACGGGTGAACTGAATTACCCACAATTATTAAAGAAAAATTTGCACCTTCCTTTTTTCTTAAGTTTTTAATCTGGTCTCTCATTTCCTGCCTTGGTTTTAATACTAATTAGAAATTATGACCAGTCATAAAGGAAGCACCAATGTTTCCAATACTTAGTACTGCCTATGATATGCCTCATCCTTTCTTAAAAAAAATGTATCCTCCAGTTTCTTTAAAGTCTGTCAGGATTCATTTTAAGAAATGATTCAGCATGCCATCTTCAAGTAAGAAAAGGGATGATAAACTATTTTTCTAACAAAAATACTTTATATTTGAATAAAATTGATTACCTGCTGTGTGTACGAGCGATGTCTGTGTTCTGCAAAAGCCTTTGCTTCTTCATTTGATGGTCGTCCAGGGATTCTTTCTTTGATTAATTCTGCAATACCTGGAAAAATATTCAAAGAAATATTTTTTGCTTTCTATGTTTTTGCAAAAACAATATTACTAGATTGATGTTAAAGTTCCAAGCATTATCAGAATGAAGGAAAATCTTAGATGTGTCTTTGACATTTACTCAGCTATTTGTTGCTTGTGTAATTGGTCAAGTTAAAAGGAAAAGCCCTGAAGCTCTAGGAAAACGAGTCTCACATGAATTTATGGAAATGAACACTGGTCAGCCTTTGAAAACTTGTAGTTTGTTTCTGTGTGTGTGTGGTATAACAGTTATTGGTACAGAAAATGGTACCAGTTTACATGGTTAAAATTCTGATTATGTCTGTTTTCAAATCCAGATGAGCTCCATCAGATTATCTTAGCCTAGACACACCCACTAATGTTATGGTTTCAGTACATGTGATAATCTCATGACTCTTATGGGATATGTGATCATGAATGAAGAAAAAAAAATGTCTGAAGAAGTTGGCCAAGGGTGATGGAAAATAGATTTATTACAAAAATTGAAAAAAAAATCCCAGCTATATTTAGAAAAAGGAATTTTTGTTGTGATTAAAAGATAATTCTTTATTACAAATTAATAGAACCTAGAGACACACTATTATTGTGCAAGGCTATAATGAGCAATTGGCTTGTTTGAATGACAAATTGGATAGGAAAAAATTTTTTCTGGGTTTCCTTGATCAGTGATTTTTTTGCATAACAATACCTGTTCATATATTGTAAATTCAATATAATATAACAATATGATTTTTCCCACATCTTAGGAAATAAAGTCCTTCCTTTTAAGTCCACTCAGCTATTGGAGTTTCATAGGAATTTTGTCTCCAGTCCATCTTGAGTGAACTTAGGGGTCAGTGTTTCAGGATTTATGTCTCCAGTTTGCCTTTGGGAAATATAAAAATTTTATAAATGATTTTAGATAGTCATAAAAGTAGTCGTTTGAAGTGGCTTTGGGGTGGTTCCAAATCTTCTGGAAAGACAAGTAGATGGAATGGGTGGGACCCCAGGATTATCCATATAAGCAGAGAAAGAAGTAGGTAGTTGACAAGAAGTGTTGTAGCTGCCCAGTGGCCAGTGACAGAAGGAATCAGGAGTTGCCAAGCCCGGTGAAGTTAGAGAGATAGCAGTTCAGCCAAAAGAAAAGAAAGCCGGCTAAGTGAGAAATTGTAGTGTTGCTACTTCCCATCCAGAGTGTCTTGAAAAACAAGTCATTATTTTTTTTTTTTTTTTGAAAGTGATCACAGCCAAGAAGACAAACCTGAGCACATAGTGAGTTGGGTGTATATACAAATACGTTCAACCTTGGATGTCATCACAGGTGACATGAACAATCAGAGAACGTAGTCACAAATCTCATCACAATTGTGCCACAATAGTATAAATCATGGAGCTGGAATGGGAAGTTCTGCTGCACATGTTCTTCACATGTTTCAGACTATCAATTGTTTCGCTTCATTTCAAAGCACTTAGTGATAAAATCAATAAAGATAGTAAAATTAAATTAAATTTTGTTTATCAAAGATATAATACCATATAGTTTTTTTTTTTTTTTAATTTTCAAAATAAATAAACAATAATCAAACCTTTTTCTACAATGACTGTAACTTCTTCGGGAGACAGCTGTAATGGCAAGCCAAGTTGGTTATTCTGTTGAGGCGCCCTGGGTAAAGCTCCTACAAGTTTTCCAATGATTCTATGTTGCCGTCTTAGTAATAAAACATCTGGAAACAAAATTAATTCATAGTGCTTTAGAGTTTTCAGCTCTTCAAAATTTAAAACTAAGATCTAAAAATAATTAATAGATTTCAGCATGTTAAATTGATCATCACACACAGCTAACTTACCCAGTAGTTACAGAATCTACAAACAGGATAATTATAAAATTCTGTTTATGACAATTGTAAACAGAAATTTGAAAGTTTTCATATTTAGTCTCACAGACACATTAAATTTGACTAATATATATATATATATATATATATATATATATATATATATATATAGAGAGAAAGAGGTTTGCTTTAACACTAAAACATCTTGGTAAAATTTTTAGGGAATTTACCAAATTAGTTCTCAAATGTCATCAGAAATTTGACAATTTACAGTAATTTCTCAAATTGTAAAATTGTCTTGTTTTGCTAGAATTTTTTTCTTAATTTTAAACAGTTGAGAGCAAAAATGATTTTCTGATTGCATTTTACAAGATCTTTCTCTCAGATCTTTGAATGCTTGAATGTCAGAAGTTTTTAGGCTGCAAGTCAGATGTTGATATTGTGTATTTGATTTCAAGCAAGTAATCCTTACTGCCAATAAAAATGAATTCAAGATTCATTGGGAATTATTCTTTTATTAGTACACCAAGGAAACGTATCAATACTGTTCAAATTTGTTAAAAACTTCATATTTTAGAAATTGAGAAATAAGCAGTCTTCAAATCTCTTCAAATCTTCATTGTAACACAATTTGGTAAGTTGCTTGATGTTCTCTTGACAGTGGTTAGCGTTTGTAATTGTTAACTGTAGTTTATTGCTAATGTGGACATAGGAAGATAAACAAATCCAGTAATGGATGTCAGTATAAAAATTGGCAGAAGCAGAGACAAAAATGGGAGCGATTCAAGTTTAACAAATTTCATAAAACAAAGTTACAAGCTGTTTAAACTTGCAAAATTTTAAAGTTAAATGTCTCTAGAGGAAATGAGTGCAAGCTAATACATGTCTTTGTGACTAAGTTCTTTTGTAAAGTGTTTTAATGAAAAAGTTCTTCCAATTTGTACGTTAACACTTGTTACCTGATTTGACTTACCTTTCTGTTTTGTCTATTATGAAGTGAAGCTACTCAACGTCTTTGAAAAATATAAAAATATTTTAAAATAAGGCTAGTCAAAACTTCTCTTTAAAAATTGATAACTAAGTTTGTTTGTTTTAAAAAATACAATCCATGTAAAAACTTCCATTTTTAAATTTTTCATGTCTTAAAAGAAAAAAAAAAGATATTTTTGTAAAAACAAATTTTGATATAACTATGTATGTTTATTTAATTTATATATAACATTACAGAGACAATTATTATTAAGTTTTAAAAGAATAACTAAAAAGAATTTAAAAGAATAAACGATTCATTTTTTATTATCAAAAAGTGTATTAAAAAAAAAAAAAAATACAGATTTTATTTCAGATTTTCAATTGCACAAAATTAGTGCACCTACAGTGAACAGTTGTCTCCTATCACTAAAAGACCAATTTTTATCTAACCTATAATTCTATTTTATTCTTGCTTTCAGTAGACATCTAGTTTCTTTTTTTTTTTTTTCTGACAAACTTAGCCATTAATTAAACATATTTTTTATATAGCTGTTAGGGCAAGAAAATAATTTTTGGCATTTAGATCTCTTGTTACTGCTGAATTGTTCTATGCAAGTTGAGGTTAATTGATTTTATTACAAGAAATCTTGCGACCATCAACATTCTGTAAGCGGATGTTTTATTTTTTTATGTTTGTGATTCTTAGTATTAAGAGTTCAGTATTTCAGATGAACAATTTAACTTTTGTTAGTCATTGAAGATATTTAAAGTCATTTAAAGATTAATGTAAACGCTTTGTCTAAATCAGGGGTCAGCAACCCCCAGCCTACGAAGGACTTTTGTCTGACCCAATTGTTGCTCAATTTAATCAGTCATAACTAAAAGTTAATTTTGATTTCATTATTTACATTTATGTTCATTGTTTTGTTGACAGAGACAGGAGAAAACACCCCAACACCTATTTGTAGGGTCCCCACCCCAGTCATTGAATAAAATACCTTGATAATGCCGCTGAAATTCCCTGATTTTGGGACATAACATAATAGACAGTGGTAAGTAACTAGGAGTACCAGTGAACAGATAAAAAAATGAATGATCAAAGAAACATACATTGTAAACTTTCTCCTCATATAAAAATATAATATCTCTAATTCAAATATGTGATCAGGTTTATTACTTTCTTGAATTTCTAAGTTCTGCACAGTTCCTGACAGTATTACTTAGTTCTTTTCTAATGTTCTCTTTCAGCTTTAAAATGTTTCTTTTCTTATTTTTATTATTTGTTGTGTTCCTCTTTCTTTTTTTGCCTTTTGTTCTTCAGATGATACTTTTTTTCCTGATATGTTTTAAACAATCTTGATAATGAGATTGGCCATCTTCCCATATTACTTAATGAAATTGTTTGGCAAAAGCATCACAGAGTTTTTACTCAGATCATCTTTCACTGGCATGATCCATAAAGCAAATTCAGGACAAGACTTGTCCATCCAGCCAGCATTGAAAGAATTAGACATTTTTATTCAAATTTTATGAATCCTATAAAACAAAGGTGCTTAAGTCTTTGAAAAATCAGACAATTATGTTTGTTGTCTACTACGAAATTTGAGAGATCACTTCAGAAAATAATCAATAATATTCTTCCTTATATATAATAGAGATTTAAAAAATTGGGGAAAATATTTGTTAAGCAATAAATTTCTGAGTTTAGTCGATCTAAGTTTTAGCTTCCTTGAGCCTATCTATTTTCTACAAATACTTGTTGTGTAAATTCACAAAGTTTAATTTTCAGTTTTTCTGTAAACCTTTGACCAGGTTTCATTGTGGTTGTGTGCAACTGATTACTCTCAGCTTTCATATAATTAATTATCAAGTAACTTCTTGCAATAACTTTGTGATTTTAAAGTAAAATGAGCTCCATGTAAAGACTGTTGGAAATCACGCACATTCATAAAACAACGTAACTACTTGACTTTCATTAAATAGACACATTCATGCTTTTCTACTATACTAATGCAGTTATTTCTGTTGTTGTAAATTACAAAAACAAAATATTTTTGTGAAGATCTTTGTGATTCATTTCTTTCAGCTTGAAAGAAAACAAATACTCAATAATAAAATTTATTTAAAATTTGTAGAGCTGTGTTTGAAGATTATTTGTTTCTTTACTTCCCACAAGCTCTTTCCTCTACAAATATCATAAATATGTCATTTAAGGCATGTCAAATTGCATTAGAATTTTTTCTGATTTTCCTGACATTAAACCCAAATTCCCTGATAATTCCTTGATTTTTCTTAAAAAGTATCTATTTTTCAATTCCTTGATAATTCACTATTTTACAGGTTGGTTGTGAACCCTGAATACCATATTAGATCACAGTAGATTACCGACCTAATCTTTGCTCTACTTTGCATCTGCTAATAGAGAGAAAATATAACCCAACATAAAGAGAATAATATAGTGAAGAGCACCATCTATTTCAATGGCTTATCAATCATTTCTTGTTCATTTGGAATACTTTGGAAAATTAAATGCACTGAAGAAACTGATACTGGCAGCAGAATTGCATCTTGAGTTGCAAGTTATTGATTTATGTTTTTATGCATAGATTGCACAAGAAGAATGATAGTGATCAAGAGAGAGTGAAAAAAAAAAAAAAAAAAGAAGAAGCAGTAGACATCTGCAGACAATTACTGGCAGCAGGCAATCAATAAACTTCAATAATTGCAGAGGTGAGCCTGAGGAGAAAAGAATCAGTGTCGAGAGACTCAAGATATGAATGATTCATTTATGATTATAAGAAAAATCAAAGATTCAGAAGAGAGGAGAGCAAAGAGATAATATTAACAAGATAAATATATTTTTAACTGCAACATATTTGGGAACAATGTAAAAAAAGATTTTGTAATGAGTTTTAAGACTTACAGAGAGGATTTTATTTGTAAGTTCTAAAGCTTCAAAAATAGACAGCAACATGTTAGAAAATGTTGCAAAAAGGTATTAACATATGACTAGAGTACTTTATATAATGAGACAGTGTTAAGAACATTGCTCTGTCCAAGTGACCCAGAATAAGATAAGTATGCTGATGTTGGAAGTCTTTTGAATAAGAAAAATCTGGTAGACATTCGATATTAGACAACAGGGACTGAAAAAAAGCTAGGTATGTCATTAGTATCCAACCTAGAATTAACAGCTTGTCAAGTGCTGGGTGAAAGCAGCATTATGTGTGAACTGTCAATTCATACAATAAGAATACTAAATAGAAATAATCAAAGTGGATGCCTTGCAGAAAAAAATCTGCCACTACCATTAACAAAAAAGATGAAAAGATTGGGCAAAAGAATACTGAGTATGGGATAATCAAAAATGGGTAACAGTGATATTTAATAATGAAAGCAAAACTGAATTACATTCTAATGCAAGAGATGAGCTGGTGAAAGATACAATCCATGATATACAACAAAGACTGTAAAATTTGATGGTGAGAGTCCAATGGTTTCGGAAGATATCAAAAAGAAGTGTTGCAAGAATAAATAATAATATGATAATAAAATTAATGGAATAATAAACAGCCAAAAATACAAACATCCCATGGATTACCAAGTAGAAGCAATGACTAAGCACCTTAACATACATCATGTTAAGGAAACAAGGACTACAACAATGGTTTGCCCAAACTTCTGACCTTCACCTATGTTAAGAGAACTGAAAACCCATGTTTGTAACAGAAAGCTAAAGAACTTACAGCTGCTTTAAATATATTGTCAAGCGGAATGGTAAAATATTCCTGATAAGAGAATTTTGAATTTGTATTCATCTATTCTGTGCGGTTTTTTTTTTAATTGGAATCACCCCAAGCAAGGCAGTAATGTTACTAAAATACAAGGGATTACAGTGTGTGGAAGAATTAGGAACAGAAACATTAATGACAAGCAGAAAGAGAAGAGAGTAATCAGGTTGACAGTAGATAGCAATTGACATTGCATTTAAATTTTTGCAGATTAAGATTGGCTGGAAAAAGAACATTCTAAAACCTTTTTAGAAAAAACTTTTTAAAGATGAAAAAATAATTTAATAATCAAAAAATCCTATGGTCCTATATAGTCTTTCCTAATAACAAAAAAATTTGACGATAAAACTTTGTTTTTATTAAGTTTTAGGGGCATTTCTTTTTTTTATCAAATCAGTGGTGGTACCACTTCTAACTAAATTCTAATTAAATTTTGATCAGGTCTCTAGTGTAAAGAGGAAAATCATTTCAAAGTGTAAATTAGAAAAATCATTCATTTTTGGACTTGGTACATGATTTTTGTGATTTCTGTCGCTTTGATCGAGCATATTCAACCATAACAGTAACACTGTGACTAGTAGAAGTTCTTGAGTAAAAAAAAAAAAAAAAATACCATGCCACATGTGACAGTGACTAAAAAAACGTGATGGTTTATGTAAAAAAAAAAAAAAGAAAAAGAAAAAAGGGAATACGAAAGTTAATTTAGTGTGGAGTGATATTCGGTTGGGACAAGTAATATTTTTAAATTGGTCATCATCCATTCTAACTAGGTACAATGAAACTCTGGAGTACATCAGTGGTTATTGAATAAAGAATAAGATTAAGATTAAGAAAAATCAGTCTTTTTGCACATTAACAGCGACACAAATGAGTCATCTATAATGGAATGCTGAGACTCATTCTTTTGGCTACCCATAAAAAAATTGTATTTTCAGATTTGCCACAGTCTTTTGTTGTAGCTTTGCTGGGATTTTAAAATAACTTTATTTAGAATTGTTTTAAGTTTGCTATTTTTATATCAGTGCAAAGGAAATTTTAATTAATTTAAAAAGAAAAGCTAAAACACTGAAAGAAATAATTTAAATTAAGATTCTGATAATCTTTCTAGGAATTTTTTTAGTTTTCGCAAAAGAAAAATACAAAAATTAGCATAAAAAATAAAGTAAAATTTTTAAAATCAATATTGATTTCTGATCTTGCAAAAATTATCCTCTTAGTGTTTTTTTTTTTTATAAATATTTCTCTTAAGATGTTGAAAGATATTTATATTTATTTATATTTTAAAATGCATTTTTTGGGTAACTTACTACTTAACTACTTCAAATATGAATTTGAATTTAGTAAAGTTTGTTGTTAGACGATCATTATAATTTCTTTTATTTTTTATGCAGAAACGTCCATTCCAAAAAAATCTAGCTTGAAGCAAAAAAATAAAAATAAAAGTACAATTTGATTCAGAAAAACTAAAGACAAAATTACTAAGAGCTACAAAAAAGGACAGGAAATTGTGGAGGCTATGATCGCCAACATCCTGAAGAAGAAACATAAAGAAGACTTATAATTTTTACCTACATTTTAAATGTAAATTACTTCTTATTGAAGATATTGACTAACATTTACCAGAAATATGGTCCTGGAGACAACGAGAAACCTAATTAACTAAAAAAATAGTGATGCAATCTTATCACATTTTTTTTTGACAATTATGCCTCAAGCCACATTGAACAATCGAATCACTATAATTCAAATTGTTACTACTTTGTAACTTTATCTTTACTTTAATTCTAATTCAATTGAATAAAATTGTTTATTGAAGGTGGATCTCTAGCATAATAGGCGAGGATAAATTATTGTTAAATTTTTCTTTTCATTCATTCTTCGTCACGTTGTTTTGTTTATCAAGACATAGTTTACCTCTAGTATTGTGGGCCCTGTAAACGGTACACATGCCTCTTCTTTTAGTTTACACAGTAGTAGCAAGGCCATTCTGAAAATTTGGTTTGACTGAGTAAAAATTTTACAATTGTATTATTATTGTTATTCTACAAGTACGTGTAAAAAAAGTATCTACTGCTTGAAGATATTAATAAATTTTAACACCAAAAAGATCGAAATAAAATTATTTGTAAAGGACGCTTAAATGAATTGACGAGCAACTCAAATCAAATTTAAAATAAACTCTTTAAAACCAAGACATCAAATTGTGTAGGTTAACTGAGTTTGAACAATAACATTAATTTTTGCTCGAAAACGTAAAAATAACAAGACTGACATCGACTCAGTTACTCAACTGTATCTTCCATCCTGAAGTTGGCTGAAAATTCAGTCTCTAGTCATTTAATAGAAAAACAAAATTGAAGTTGAATTAAATTTAACAAATTGAACGACCAGTTCTACTTAACTTACTTCATCTATGACCAACAGCTACAATTTAAATGACGTGCAAGAAAATATCAGTTAAATGCGGTTTAAAGAATGATAAGAATGTTTATGTGAATTCCTCCCCCGCCCCCAAAAAAGACATAAACGAAAGTGTTCTTCTGTTTGAAATATATTTTAATTTAATTCATCACCACAAGAAGCATTTTTCTACTCCGTCATTTTCAGAAGCAAACACTAGCGCTTTTGAATCAATAAAAAAAGGAAACATTAAAATTAAAAAAAGGATAAATTCAGTTTTAAAAAAATACCAATAGCAAATAAAAGTGTCAAGGTTCGTTTTTGTCAGATTGAAAATATTCATATATGCAAATTTAAATTTTTAATCGCCATTAGTTCTTTTACATGAAAATAATTTTTCTAACAATCAAAGAAAAAATAGGTAAAGGTTTTTCTTTAGTACAGTTCTAAAGTAGTATTTTGTTTCATCATTAAAAACCAACAATAATAGCAAAAAGAAACGAAGGAAAATTAGGAAGACTCAACCACGAGGAATAATTTGAAGAAAAATCAAAATCATTTTTTACCTTCGCTACTCCAGACGAAACCAACATTGTTGTCTACATAGATTTTGATTTTGTCATTACTACTCCTTTCACACATTGTAAAACGTGGAGCGACCAAGTAGAGATCATTGAACAGCAAACAAAAAAAAAAAAAAAGAGAAAAAAGAACTTTGATCCACTTTGCAAATCGCACTAATTTCTTGTTCTTACACAAGTCTTTTTTTTTTCTCTCTTATTCAATGCTGTTTACATATCGACCTCCATAAATGTGACTTATCTCCCTTGAGTTTTGTTTCTTTTAAAATCTGGTCTGGACATGTCCTGGACTTTAGTTGCTGTAGTAAACCTTCTCTCAACTAAACTAAACAAATATCAGCATCATTTCCACGTCATCTTTTATCCAATGCTAAATTATTTCATCTTTCAAATAAAATTTATTCAAGCTTGAATCATTTTTTGCATCGAAAAATAATTGTAATTAAAGAAATATCAAATAAATTATTTGAAAAAAAATCAAAGATGAAATGAAGTCGAAGCATTGACCACCATAGTGTGACTTATTCGCTTTTCATTGTAACTCAAAGATTTTCAATAAAAACACTTGAAGTGAAGTAACCATACAATAGCACTGAGTGTGTAAGTGTAATCATTTCATTCATGAATCCCGGAATCCGGGACAAAACCTTAGCCTCTTATCCAAAAAAAAAATCCTAGAAAAAGAAATAATAAACTGAAGTTAAATTATTTAACATTGAAAATTCTGGGGAGTTTTTTATTCAAATTTTAATAAATATCAAATTGAAATAGTAATAGCCAATTTATGTACAATAAAGAAAGAAAGTAAATATCTATTTCTGTGGGTATTTCACGAGTTTTTATGGGTCCACTTTTTACAACAAAGATAAAAAAATTCATAGAAAGCAAATCGATTCAACCTCTAAAAAGGTTTTCTACCAATGCTAGGGTCACATCTTCGATATCTTTCATAGTTAGTCCTAGTGTCCCATAAGACCCGACTTAAGAAGGGTGTTTTTTTAAAGTTTACGCTAAAACGTAGACAAACCACAGAGATTTGTTTCATACAACCGTAAATAAATGTACGAAGATATTATGGCATATAAGAGCTTAAGGTTTTTTTTTTATTCACAAAATAACTTTGTAGTTTGTACATAAATGTATCAGTCATTGTCTCAATTTGACATTTAAAATTTGGATAAAAAATTCCTTGAATTTTTTATGTCAAATTTATTTCTTTTTAGTTTTTATTTTGAGACTGATTTTGTCCACTTTCGAGATAAGAGGCTGGGTTTGTCCTGTTACCACCTTTTATACACTGACATGTCAACGTGTTTAGCAAGCAAGCTCATTTTGCTAGATCAATATTACGACTGAATAGTGAGTTCGAGCCTCACCAAGTTCTCCATGCTTTCGACATTGTGTCACAAAAATTGCTACAACTTTCATACAATTCATGAAGTTCACACAGACACAATCAATTTTTCCTGTGGACATGCTCTTCCAACGAGAAATTCAAATAATTTGTCAGCAATATTTTTAATGAAGTGAGCGCATCTTGACTGTTACAAAACGCTTCGCCGGAAATAAAATACGAGCTTACTAGATTCATTTTTTGTTTACTTCAACCTTCTTCAAGAGGTTGTAAAAGAATAATGTACTGAAAATATTGCAAGACAGTTTCTAAACATGAGAACAGATATCTGCTTCCTTTTTCACGATCAGTTCCAGATTTCGTTACAAAATAACATTTCAATTTTTTTATCAGTCGAGCAATTACTGCCATGTGATCAAAGCATATTACGTAGAAGGTCACGTGAAGGAAATCTGGCGGGAAATTTCTGTAGGAGAGGCTAAAAAAAATTAACAATATTTTGTCTTTTCCTGATCAACTCTGAAAAAGTTGTTTTTTTCCGAATATCCTTAACACAAAATAATGGCTACCGATGTCGATCAGAGAATTCGTGATCTCCAAAGGGAATATCTAGACTTTTTGGATGATGATGTAAGTTATGGAACTTATTTTTTCCATCATTAATGTTGTAGATAAGTTTTCGCGGTTTTTTTTTTGTATGGCCATGTTGCCGTCATTGTTACTTTTTTCTGTGACAAAGTTTTTATTTTAAATATATCAATCTTTTTTTTCTTACCTATTCGTATTTCTTCATCTCTATATTTAAAGTGATCTAGCATTTTATAAAAAGCCTCATAACTGAAGTTTTAAAGTTTGCCAGATTTGAATAATTCCACAATAACATTGTTGAATGTATAACTAACTCCATCTTAAAACTCAGACTTTAAGTTAGTTATCGACAATGTGTAAAAAATGTATTTAAAGCGCATTTTAAAGTTTTGCTAAAACAAAAAAGACCATTTACTTCACTTAATGAATTTGAAAAAATGCCTCAATTTCAGCAAGCACCTTTTTTGAGTAAAAATATGTTTGTCTTTTATCATTTTTATTTGCTTAAGAGATCTTTTTTTGTTTGCATCTGTAACAAATTCCAAAACTCTTATTAAATAAAAGAATAAATTTACACGGTGCCTAAATAAATAACTTTTGATGTGGGTTGTGATTCGAAATCAGTTTAAATATTTTCTTCACGTTACCATAAATTATATAATTAAACAATTATTTGTATTTTTCATGACTTTTTTTTTTTTTTTTTTAAATTATTTCTAATTTTTTTTTTTTTTTTTAATAACTAAATTTTTGTTTACTAAATTTGACATTCACTTTTTTTATAAAGCGAAGTAGACACAACATCACTGTTTCGATGTCCCCCCCCAAAAAAACCCCAACTATCCAAAAACTTAGATCATTGTCTTTTTTTCTTTTATAACAAAAAAATTAAAAAAATAAAAATAGAAACTGACACTTGAAGATTTAAACTTTTTTTTTTCTTCAATTCTCGGTTGATTTTTCTCTGGAATTTAAGTAGAAAATTAAAAACTATTTTGTGAAGTGGCCCATTTTGATATCACACGTTTAAAATTCATTTTTAAAACTGAAAGAAAAGTTTTTTTACACTTAAATTGTTGCATTGCGAGTGTGGGTTTGTTCGAAAGAAGAGTTTGAAAAGCCAAACGAAAAAAATAACCAAATTTAAATTTTCCTGGATTGTTTAATGATAATCGCGTGGCAAATCAGTTGTTTTTAAAAAATTTAAATAAATGAAGCTGATTGAATTTTATTTTACGTAAAAATCGTTTCAGACACGTTCTTATGTACTCATTTCTTCTTTTTTTACACACTTCTTTTCAGCCATTAGGCAACTTTCCAAATATTTATTTATTTTGTAAATTATAAGATTAAATTCAAATTCTTTTTTTTTCTCATTTAGGATGACCAAGGCTTCTATCAACAAAAAGTACGTGACATGATAAACAACAATGAAATTCGCCTCATCGTTAATATAAATGACATCCGCAGAAAAATTCCACAAAGAGCTAAAGGGTTGGTTCTTATTTTTGTTTTGTTTCCTTTGGTATATAAATCATGATTGAATTATTTCAAGTAACTCACTCTAACAACCTGCTGAGTGGACGAATGTAAAAAAAAAAAAATGTTTAAATATTTTAAATCAAGATTGGATTTTGCACCAGATCTTTAGGCTAAACTCTAATAAACCAAAAATATGATCGTTAATAACTGTTCTTAATTTGTATACCAAATATCGAGTTATCTCCCTTAGATTCCTTTACCTGGTCTCCTATTTTTTTTTCTATTCTTTAAAGGAAATGAAATAATTTCTGCTACCAAAAGAGTAAAGCGAAAATAATTAAAATTATAAAAAAATTAAATTGTGTGTTTCATTAGATAATATAGACAAGTGTTGTCTATTTATTTTATGTAAATTCTTTTCATAACGTCTGAAGCTTAATAATATTATCATTAAACAAAGAAAGATCACAATATTGATACATATTTTTTTAATCCAATCTAAGCTTTCGGCTTACATAAGCCATTATCAAAGATGAAGGGTGTTCAATTTTTCCTTCGCTATTTCAAACATGTATGAATGGAAAAATGCTGCCTAAATGCACACAATTTAAATTACATGATCCAGCAGCCCACAATACTTGGAATTATAAACGTAGCCTTGTGAAAAGGCAAATTGAAATAGTCAAGGAAAAATTGAACCAAGAGGCAAAAGTTTGGACTGAATTGTAGAAGCAACCAGATAGCCAACTGTCAGGCAGAATGGGGTATCTGAATATTCTGTGTCTGAACAAGTTAAGGACAAATATGAATGGGCTGCAAGTGTAACTAAAAAAATGGACATGATAACCCAAGACAGAACGTTGTCCACCCGAGGGGCTAATAAAGAGAAGGTACATCCTCTATTTGATTATCAGGAACTGAAAGTGTATACTGATGCACATAACTCATGCCAACATTTGTGCACAAAAACTGAGGGAATGACTGAGAAAAGGGTTCAATGACTTTAGATACAAAATGTCTACTTGCAGGTGCATGTATACAAATCATTGTGGCTTTTTCAGGCGTGATCATTAAAGAGTGGTGACATTACTTGACACTAATAAGATTTCTGTTCGGTGAGACGCTATCTATGATGACTCATTGTGTATGCTGTGTGGTCAGAAGAGGAGTTCATTCAATGAACATCAGCTTATATTGATGTAATTTACATCAATGAAGGTATGGCTAGTTTTGGACTGGCTTGCAAGTCAAGGGGAACATAACTAAAAATGGTAACGATGTTCTGGAATTAGCTGAAATCATTACATGATGCAGCTGTTTTAATTGTGTAGCTGTCTCCATGTTGTGACGGCATTTGTCAAACAAACCAGGCATGGTCATGTCCAGTTGGAATGAGGAAGTTAGAGAGAGAGAGAGACACTCCCTTTCCCAATGCCAGTGTATGTCAGGATTATCACATGCACAGTAAGTAGTGTGTATTTGGTCACCTGGTTGATGTGAGCTCCCTTGGAGCTCTGTGGGGACCATAATCAAAGATGCATACTGTTTATATTCAGGAAATGACACTCAATGTATAAATTGTCTGAACTTGACACTATGCTGAAGGATGTCGATGGGAGAGCAATGTAATTGCCTTTATTTAAAGACTCTGCATGTAGACATTGTTGTGTCTTCAACAGTGTCACGGGAAAGCATATGGTATATACAATGGTCACTAGCAAGGTACTCATTTCAAGTCAACTCGGCTCGCTTGAAAAATTGGTTAAAGAGTACAAGTTGTCTGTGTAAGTTGGTCAGAATAAATCAGAGCAGGGAGGACAAGTCAAGAGGCCAGGTTAGGTGTGAATGATGCCAATTGACTGGTTTCACTTGATTTGCCATTTGGTGACATTTTCATTTGCCGGATCCAGTAAGTGTAATTCACCAACTGAAGACTCTCCTCCTGTTTATATATGAACAAGGTGCATTGGATGGGCTCCTCACTGGCAACAACACAGCATTTTGTAGTAAACTGTCCAAGGACTTTTTTTTTCTTTTGAATCCTGCTTCCAATGGTGCTGCTATTTCATCGAAAAAGGCCATAATAAAGATGAAAACCAAATCAAATTTACAACAATCTCAATGATTTGTCAAAATGAAGCCATGAGTTTACTACCAAGTGAGGACACTATTAAAAGAACTTTGAGGAATCAAAGAAAAAAAAAATATCCACCAATACCAGAAAGACTGGAAGACCCAGTAATTGGAGGTGGGGGTGATGAAGTATTTTGGGGACTCAACCGAAGCTGCTTCTTCTTTTTTTTTTTTTTTTTTTTTTTTTTTTTTAAGCACCCCCCTACTGCAGGCCAAATCTCAAGACATGAAATTCTGCTGCAAGCGATTGTTGACCACTACCATGAGATTGGGTTGTATCCAGACCCAACAACAATCAGGCAGTAACTATTTTTAAGTCGACCACAATAGTGTAATTTGACAGTTGGAGACCCTCTTCCCATTTATATATGAACAAAGTGCATTGGATGGACTCCTTAGTGGCAACAACTCAGCATTTTGTAGTGAACTGTCTAAGAATTTTTTTCTCTCTTTTGAAGAATGTGTTCAACTTTTGATTCTGATGACTCTGTCCTCACAGTCAAGAGCTGCCATTGTAACATTAAGAGAATTTGTGTCTATATAAAAGGGATTTATACAATGCCCCTCCCCCATTTGAACATAAAATTGAACAAGTGAAGTGGGAGACTGTGAGCAGATAAAAGCACAACAAACACAGCTGATGATATACATTGCATTATGAAGTAGGCATGTTACTGAGATCAGCAGCCTGTACACATTCCTGATTGAACTATTTCAAAACAATATCCTTAACCTCTTAAAGGAAATGAAACTTTATACCAATTATAAAGCTAAAACATTTTTAATATATTTTGGGAACTGGGAAAAGGGACCTTTCAGATTTCATAAAGATCTCCATTAAAAATAATGAAAACTGTAATAACCAACTTATATCAAAAACTGAATACAAAATAACTTGTATTCAGCATTGCTAACAACTGATTAAAAAAAAAATATTTCTCCAACTAACCAAGCCATACCAAAAACAACCATGATTCAAAACTTTTTATCAAGCCTTAAATAACTATCAGTTTAGCATAATGATAAAAGGTCTTAAACTTAATAAAAACAGTTTCATCATTAAAATGTTTGTTATTATTTAGAGGAAAGAACAAAGTATTTTTTTAAAAAAATTATCCTTCTTTCTAACATGTTCTAAATTTGGGTCAAAAATCTTTTTCTTTTTCTTTTGTTAACTTGGTAAGACTTATGGTCATTGCCATTTTTTAATTTCAGGGGAAACCTATTAATTTGGAAATTCTTGCAAAAATCAAATTGTCTAATTTTAATGAAACTTTCAGGATTTATTCAAAAAAGAATTAATTTATTTTTGAAAAAACATTTTTTTATTATTATTATGAAATTTTCTAGAATTTCAAAGAGTTTGCAAATTGTTTTATGTTACTTACAAGCAGGACTCCTTGGAAAAATTAAGTAATCAATTTTTTATTTTTTTATTTTCACACAACTACTGCCAACTTTTGAAAAGATCTGCTCCAAATCATAAAATAAAAACTGCAATAAACTATCTAATTAGATAGGCTTTTATTTGCTTTTATAAATAATATACATTAAGGACATTATTATCTGATGGAAAAAATTTTTTTTCCATGAATAAAGAATTTTTACAAGAATTGTGTGCATTTCTCTTATTTTTTTTTCTTTAATTTTAAAAAAATGTTTTAAAATTTTTTCATGCAGAGTGAAGACTATATTTACTAAGCGAAAATTAAAAGCTTAATACAAATAATGCTACCAAAACTTTTTACCATAATTAAAAACAATTTTGTGCATCAAAATGTTATATATTCTTTTTAGTATGATATCTCATAAGTGACATGGTTAAAAGGTCATGTGTTTCAAAGCTTGTCTCCTTGGGGAAAGCCCCTTGACATGTAAAGGTCTCATCTTACACTCAGTTATTAAATTAAAAATTAAATTGAGATAATAAAATTATCCCATTTATCAATTTAAACAACTAATAACTCAGTGAGATATTTTAATTATTAATATAATAATAATTTTATTAGTTATTATCTCAGTTATTAAATTAAAAATGTAATAACTTAATGTAATATTAGTAATTAATAAAATTAGTTATCATTATCTTAGCTATTAAATAATGAAAGAGATAGAGGTAACTAAAATAATGTAAGAAATTTTTATAGGATTTTAAATTATTATAAAAAACAAGAAAAAAACCTTATGTCACTTTTAATGTGCCTAAACCTGTCAACACATTCAGCCATCAAATTATTGATGGAGGCATGAAAATAACAAGACCTCAAGGTCAAGAAATGTTTGTCTAGAAAATTTTATCCTATAAGTGATTTTTGTTTCAGAAGAGATTAATTTAACTTTGCTAATTTTACATAAGTAACGTTTCAGAAATGGTGAAATCTTATTTTAGCGGGATTTTCAAACCCAAAAAATAAGCTTATATTTCTCTTACAAAAAAAAAAAAATGTTAAAAATGGCCATTTTGATTGGTTTTCTGGAGCAAATACTCTACAGTATTTTTTTTAATATTTTTTTTTTCTGGAATTAGAAAATTTAATCCTTTAGCTTTCAATTGAAGTGGTTGGAAAGCTTCGAAAAGGATTTTTCATTTATGAAAAAATACATTTAAACCTTAGGTATACCGAATTTTTGGAGGTATCTACTATAGTGTTTAAAGAAATAAAACGAAACAATGTGAAGTACATCCACCCGTTTTGTGTGTTCTAGCAGTATGTCCTCAGAAAGTGGGATGGTGCTTGAGATTGGGTCGAATGTGTTTGCTAATCCTTAGAAGCAGACAAGTTAGAGCAGTGTTTCTCAATCTTTTTATCAACATCTTTCACATGATGACTTCAAGTTGACATGCCCCGTTAAACCACTTTGGCTGGCTGGCTGGCTAGACATACATGAGTGATGTTAACATGGTACTACTGGGTGGAGGACCTCTTTGGCACAGGTCACCAGCAAGGACAGAAGGGTTCATCAGATGAACTACAAAGACCACATGTTCACAACCAAAGCAAGCCACCTAGTTGGAGGATATCAGTTGTGGTCTAACCTTGAGAGGGATGAGCTCCTTGCAGGTTAAAACATCCAAAACATGCCATGAAACCAGGCTCTGGCACATGATCACAACAGATGAAGGAGAATGGTGTACAGTTCAGTATATGGGCACCCCCAACAACTTCTGGGATTAAGGGTAAAAGGAGTGAATTTTGTGGTTAAATTTCATTTGTTTAAATTTATGGATTTAAAAATGACTGAATTTTATTTACCTTTTTATTCTTTATTTTGAAAATTGTTCATATGCAGGTTGTTGGATGAATCATTTGAAGAAGTCATTGCTATTCAGAGAGCACTTCGGGAATTGGCCGCGTCTGCTGATCCGCTTTATAGTAAACAGCATGAGGATTTTTTTATTGGATTTGAAGGCAGGTTAGTTACTATGGACTATTTTTCTCAGTTTTGTAATATTTTTTGCAAAGTAAATTTTTATTTCTAGCTATTAATTCTTTAGAGGAAGTTTGATATAAATATTTTATTTCTATGTATTAATAAAGTATGCAGGTGCATAAAAGAAAAAAGCATATTCTCCAAACCCTTTGCATATTTTTGTTCACTTGGTTTTTATTTACATTTTTCGTTGTTAATTCAGTATAAATGAAACATCATTTAAGTGTTAATGTATTTTCTATTCCAGTAGCTTTTTTTTTCTTTCTGTTCACAAAAAGAACTACATTAGGGTCTGATTATGTATATGCTTTGGAGGTGAAGCTATACAAGTTGTTTTCTGTATTATTAAATGTTACTTAATTGGCTCCAGGGTATTGTATTTTAGGAAACACCATGCTTAGTTGGAAATATTTAATTTTTGTCTCTCTTAGTGCAACTGTTACATGCCTGATTAAAAATTTCTGTATTTGCTCTTTGGTAGTTTTGGTAATAAACATGTGACGCCCCGAAGCCTGAAAACCCAGTACCTTGGAAACATGGTGTGTGTTGAAGGAATAGTTACAAAATGTAAGTTCAACTGTTCAACAAAATTAATAACTATACTAGAGCTTTTTGTAGATATAAGTTGTTCCAGTGATCTGTAGATTTTGGTGTTTTCTACGAATGTAATTGATGCAAAACTTTATTAAAATTAAGTTCTCTGCAGATTTAATTTCAAATTGTATAGATTTTTTTGATTTTTTTTTTTTCCACAATGATATTCACGCTGCCCAAGGTAGAGAATTTAGGAAGTTACATAAGGGAAGAGCTTTAAAAGGAACTGGAAACTGCCATCCTTAGGGTTTGTGAAACTTTGTGGCAGTATTTTTATTGAGTCTTGTGTTGAGTAGAATATTTTATAGATAGTGTGTAAGCAAGAAGTGCATTTTTATTTACTTTTGGTGATTTTTTTATTTATCTTGTGTGATTATGTGTGTGTTTAAAATAGATAGGTTGCTTAATAAAACAAGGGAAAATGAAAAGGTACCAATGTGATTGGTGTGAAAAGAATTTACTATATAATTGTTAATCACAAGCCGGAAATGAAGCACAGAAATTAATGTTATTAGTCTGTAATTTTTGAGCACGCCTGTGTTCTTCATCAGCAGGGTGAGGAATAAACAGAAACGGGAAGACTCACCAGCGATATGGGGGGGGGTGAACACGTTGTAGATGGTATTATTAGTACAAATCTGATCCCTGCTTTATTCCTCACCTGCAAAGCTTTTTTTTTGCAGAAGGTGGGGGGAGTGTAATTTCGAACTGGGAGGCGGGGAGAGGATTTGTGATGGAGAAGACGTCCCTTATGTGGCCAGTGTTAATAGATTTGGGTAGAGATTGAGAAGGCAAAAAGGTAATAAAGATAAAAGGAAATGGGGGGAGGATAGGAACTGCAAAAAAGGATTAAATATTTTGATAAAATCTTTTGGAAAATTATAGTCTGAAAATGGGGGGGTGCAGAAAAAATAAACGGATAGAAACATAATTGTGGTAATGACAGTGCAGGAAGGAAAGAGGGGAAAGGTCTGCAAAAATAGATGATTTGTGTGTGATAAGTGTAAATATACCCTAGCTATCTTACAAAATTTCGAAATCCTAGGTGTCAGAGCAGAAAAATATGGTAAGGGGTGTGTGTGTGTGCGCACGTGTATAATTTCACCCCAAGCAAGACAGAAGTTATGTAGAGTGGGAGCAAGAGTAAAGAGGCATGAAAGAGGAAAGGATGAAGAGAAGGATGGGGAATAGATCAAGGCATCTGTCCTATTGATCTATTGCATTTGAATAGTTGGAGATTATAGCTATCAGGGAAGCAAGTATGAGGAAGAGAGTTCCACAGATGGGAAGTGCGAGACCTGAAACTATTGGAGTAGAAGAGAGGGCTACATTTAACGGTTTCAACAGTGAAAGGGTGGGTCTGAGATGCTGAACTAGTGGCACATTTAAATTCATGCAGTTTAGGAACTATCGAAAATAGCTTGGCGACACAGTTACCGTGAAAGTATTTGTAGAAAAGATAGAGGGAGGTGACAAGCATGTCAGAGAGTGACTGTAAACAAGATGCCAGATCAGGGCCAATCACATTGCATATCTGTGTGTGTGTGTGTGTGTGTGTGTGTATATATATATATATATATATATATATATATATATATATATATATATATATATATATATATATATATATATGATGGAATTATAAACAAGATAATTAATAAAAGTTACTTCACTAACTCGCGTTTCATTAAGAGAATTTTTATGGATTTGTTTTCACAGAATCTAATATATGACTTAGATGTTTTGTCATTGTCACTTTCCAATGACTGCAAATGTGTGATTGAAAACGATAACACCTTTTGCCAATGTTTTGTTTAAAAATTAGTATACAGTGTTACACATGAAAAACTTAACATAATAGGTAGGTAGGGAGGGACACTTACTGCTATAATATTAGTACATTTGTCTTTCTTTTTTAACCTTCATTACTCTGTGGCTTCATTTGCAGTACAAAAAGTTTATCTTTCTACTGAAGATAACTCTGATCCCTGCACAATGGTGGGTTTGAATTTCGTAGTTGTTGCCATATCCTGCTATATCAACAGAAAGCAACTTGGAATGAAATTAACAATAAGGTTACTGCAATTGAGAGGCTTTGAAAAAGAATACAGTGGAAAGAGAAGTAATATTAATAATGCAGACTGCTAAAGGTTAAGAAAGAACCCAGACTGCTGTACTTGGCTTTTTTCCTATGTTCTATGAAATTCAATTTTCTAAAGATAAACCTATTTTATTTGCATCTGATTAAATGTTATAATTCTAGCTCATATTATAACATTTAAATTGTAACTGCTTGTGGAATGTAAAAAGTTTTTAAAAAATTCAATGAGTTTTTAAATTGCATGTCATTTTTTTTTTCTTAATTCTATTTATATTATTTTAAATTTAATTAGGTTCCCTGGTTCGTCCCAAAGTTGTACGTAGCGTTCATTACTGTCCTGCAACCAAAAAGACAATAGAGAGAAGATACACAGATCTGACTTCATTGGAGGCTTTCCCCACAAGTGCTGTTTACCCAACTAAGGTTAGAAACATGAAATTTGAATACAAATATTTTAAAACTGTTGGAATTTTTCTTCCTCTCTTTCTTTATAGAGAAGATAATTGATATAATGACAATATTTTGTTTTTTTTTCCTTTTGCAAAGGATGAAGATGGGAATCTTTTGGAAACCGAATATGGTTTGTCTGCCTACAAAGACCACCAAACTTTTTCTATCCAGGTAAGTGGCCATTTCACTGGCTAAGAAGTTTTGTGCATTAGATTTGGATTCAACATGCCAAATTAAGTTTCACCATCCAGTTGGTGATTTCTACTCTGTTTGAAGTGTTAGTGGGTGGGTAATATTCTTTTATTAATAGCTTTAATAAATAAGTGTGTGTGGGGTTTTTTTTTTTTCTTTCTTCTTCATCTCCTCTCTTTTATTACTGTGCACACCACCACCCCAACTCCATTTAAAAAAAAAGAAAGAAAGAAAAAAAAAAAACACCAGCACAGACTGTTACCAATGCTATAACAATGTAGCAGTGAAAATGTTAAGCAAAATGCCTTAGAGTTGACCTCTACTGGAGTGACACCTATATGCACCCACTTGTTTGTTCGTTACAAATTGAATTTTCTTTTTTAGGAAATGCCAGAAAAAGCACCTGCTGGGCAATTACCTCGCTCGATTGATGTCATTGCTGATGATGATCTTGTTGATGTCTGTAAGGTATGGTTCAAAATAAATATTGAAAAAAATATACCTGACACTGACATTGATTCACCTGTTGATATTAAAAATGTGGGTTTTCTGCAATATTTGGAAATGATGCATTTACCATAAATAAATCACTAAATTCTTGTTAGTCATTGTCAGTATGTTTGTTACTCCTATTTTGGCATTGGTTAATAAATATTCATTCATTGTAATTTTTATGATTCTTTCAAAACAGTTGCAATGATAAATATTTTAATTGGTAATAGCATTCAAATGATTAGATAATGTGTAAGTAAGAAAAAAAAAAGTTAATTTTACAAAATTAACACTTATTTTCTTTTTTTTCTCTGTGTGTGTGTATATATATATATATATATATATATATATATATATATATATATATATATATATAAACTAATGAAATACTTGATAGCAATTTCACTACACTATTTGCTCTTAATTATTGTGACTTTGTAGGATTTCTAAAAAAAAAAAAAAAATTTTTCTGAGCATATAAAAAACATAAAAATTAACTTTTGGCTGAACTTAGACATTTGTGGTATATTCAGAACAAAACAATGCTATAGAAAACTCAATAGTTCTTACTCTTTTTTTTTTTTTTTTTAAGCCTGGAGATCGTGTCCAAGTTATTGGGACATACAGGTGTCTTCCTGGTAAAAAGAACGGTTATACAACTGGCACATTCAGGTAGTTTTTCTGTTTTTCCATTTCTTAAACTAACACATATGCACTTGTTTTCTGTTAGCATTTTCTTAGTTTTAATAACAGCTTCAGATGTGAGTTTTATTGTAACAGCTCTCAGCAAGAGTGTGTTAAACTTCAATTCTCTAATAAATATATATAGTAAGGTTCACCCTTTACAAGGCTCAGGGCCACCCCTCTAGGTAAGGGGTAACATTAGAAGGCAATTTGCACAGATAGGGGTGGGAGATAACCCTAGCCTTGAACAGGTTGAGATTGTAGTGATCAGGGAAAACTTCTTTTGGGGATCAGTTCCACAGAGCAGTGGTTTGCTGTGGAACGTCTTACTGATGGAATGTGGGTAGTTTGCTATTATGTAAATGGCATGCCATGTCCTTGCTGTGGAGTTTTAAATTGGTAGGACCAAGGAATTTAGTTCGTACAAGCACTTTCCATTTTTGTTAGCTGTAACACAATTTGAAATGTGAGAAAAAAATCTTTATTCCCCTCCTCCATCACCACCACCACCACCTTTTTTAAAACAAAACATTTCATCTTCTTCCTATCAAATAAGAAATAGTAGTTATAATATTAATGCTTTTAGCAGACTTTACTACCATCCTTAGGGTTTGTGAAACTTTGTCAGGATTTCAGTTGAGACTGTTTTGTTGAGTAGCAGATTTTATAGATAATTGATAAACAAGAACTTCATTTTTATTTATTTTTAGTGACTTTTAATTTGTGTGTGTGTGAGCCAGACTAGCTATGTGCATCTGCTAGTGTAGCTAGCTAATCCCTTCAACACCCACGGAGCCAATTTGTAGTTTATATTACCACTATGCGAAGCAAACCTCCAGATAAAATTTCTAGGAAAGAGCCCCTAATCTAGCATGATCAACAATTGAGCAAAGCCTATATACACTCATGAACAGAACAGTAATGTCCTAACCATTCTGCCAAGTGATCACCTACCTCACTACCCTAATAGTTGCAGTTGGCACTATAATCAATGACTGGCTCAGCAAGTGTGTGTGTGTGTATAGTTATCAGTTTTACCAATAATTCATTTTTCTGTTCTATTATCTGTTTTATTTTGTAGAACCATTTTAATTGCCAACAATATTCAGATTCTCAGCAAAGAAATTACGCCGTCATTTTCAGCTGAAGATGTGGCCAAAATAAAGAAGTTCAGTCGACAAAAGAATGTTGTAAGTAATGATACTGACAATCTACTTAAAAACTTTTATAAAAAAATTTTTTTATTATTAAAAAGGTGTTTTTTCAAAGCAAACACATTTTGATTTCATAAATACTAAACAAATGTTACTAATGATTTATACCTGCTATGATAAAATATAATTTGAAAACTTGGTAAGTTCATTGAACAATTTTTTCGGTCAAGGAATTAAAGTATATTTTTCATTGAGTCTCTTTAAGATGACATATATTTGAAGGAATTTACATGTTGCCTCTAATGTTATGTCAATTTCAGTTTTATACAAGTTTATTTCATTTTTATAATTCAATTAAATGGTTTTTTATCACTTTTTGGTTATCTGTGCTTACATCATTTAGATTTTTTGTGAAAGATTGGTTCATTTACATCATTTAGATTTTTTGTGAAAGATTGGTGGATGGATTCTTTTAGGGAAAGAAACACTATTAGTGGTTTTGGGCCCTAAAAGAGATGCACTAAGATTAGGATAATCAAGATTATCTTTTTTCTATCTCGATTCCTGTATTTCATACCACATTACTGCATTGTTAAAAGTTGTGTAACTTTTCATTTGAAACCTGAAACCTAACAATTACAAACCAATCCCCATCATTAGATAGGTGACTCCAGTAGAAGATGTTAAAAAGGTAAAATACTTGTATGCCCTAGTTGCTGTTGAAATAGATCCTTTTTAATTTTAGGATGTATTTGAGTTACTATCGAAAAGTATGGCCCCATCTATTCATGGACACGAGTACATTAAGAAAGCGGTGTTATGTATGCTGCTGGGAGGAAATGAAAAAGTTTTGTCTAATGGAACAAGGTTAAGAGGGTAAGAAATTGTCTTTGTTTTAATGTAATAAAGTGTTACAGTGTACATGTAAAGCAATAAAAAGAACTCCCTTTTTGTATGTTGTTCAAATTTCTTAAGTTTTTCATCTCTAAAGTATTCAGCAGAAGCAAATGTTGAACTCGGAGTAATGTACTTTTTCTAACATCTTTGATGGTTAAATTATTTTGTATGTTGCCCAGTTATGCATTTCCATTGGATTTGAGCCAACAGTTAATTTTTAATTTTTGTATGTGTTTTACAATCTGATGAATACCATGTTATTGATCAAATGAAATTTAATAAATCTCTCTGGCTTTTTTATTGCAGAGATATCAATGTTATGTTAATTGGAGATCCCTCTGTTGCAAAATCTCAAATGTTGAGGTGAGTTTAAAACCTTTTCATGAACTCTAAAATTTAGGAAGACAAACTGTCTGAAAACCTTGCAATTCTGTTTATATTATATTTTTATATTATAAAACATCTGTTAGTTTAAGAATATTTCCAAAATTATCAAAAAAATGATGTATCAGTTCACAATGAAGCTAAAATCAAATTCATTAATATTTTTGCACTTCACTCTAGATTATAAATTTATTTTGTAAAGTTTTTATTAGTTTTTAAATTCACTGTTAACATTTAAACCATGACTTGTCACTTTTCTTGATGACTTATCTGTCTTCTATAAAGATATGAGAATACTAATCTTTACTTAATTCAGAGAGATATGTTTTGCTTTTTTCACTCTGCAATTTGTGTGGCAATGAATACTGGCTTTCTCAGCATTCAGACTTCAACATGTATAGTTTAAATATTTTTGCTAAAGAGGAAAATAAATTTGCCTAAAACGTGCCAATAACCCCACCCCTCCCACAAAAAAAACTACAAACAGCTTTTGAATTTTAGAATCCTTAAAAAAATTTATTACAATCAGATAATTTCATTTCAGGTTTTGCATTATTTATTAATGATTATTTGTTTAAAAACAAATGCATAAAGCAGGACATTATTTATTGAAGAAAAATGTTTAATACAAATATTACTTGCCAGGTCTAGTTATTTTTTAGCCTTGTGACTTTAAAATGTTAAATGATTGTTTTTTTTGTTTTTTTTTTTTTTTTTTGTAGGGGGTCTTAATCACTGCAATTTTATGAAATTCACTTGCACTTGACTAAGACCATTCATGGATTATTATTCTTTTTTCTTTTTTTTCCAAAGAGATTCTGTGACTGTTAAGCATAATTTCAAAAATTCAAAACAAAATAAATTCTATAAGGAAAGCATTTATTACTATTTCTCTAATTCTATAGTTGATTGCAATTGGATTACAGTTTATCAATATTAATGAAAATCTGTTTTATATGTTTGTTATACAATAACTACTCCATTCTGTTCATTGAATTGTTTCAGTGTATGAATTTTGTACCTTACATTTAATACCTAATTTTAATTTCTACTCCAGATATGTCCTCCACACAGCTCCAAGAGCCATTCCTACAACTGGTCGAGGATCTTCAGGAGTTGGTCTAACAGCTGCTGTCACTACTGACACAGAAACTGGTAAGATTTGTGTTTGTTTGTTTTTTTTGTTTTTTTTTTTTGTTTTGGTTTTTGTTTTTTTTATATAATTTACATTGACTCTTAACTGCCTCATACATAATTCATCAAAAATCTTTCCTGAAGCTTTTCTTTCAGTTTTAATTTCAAGCTAATAGATTAAATTTAAAATTTCCAATAAGGAAAATATTTTGCTGCATTTTAAACTGAATTTAAATTGATTAGAATGATTTTGTTTTTAAAATTGCTTTTAAAAAAAGCCATTTTAGAGACTCTGTCAACATGGCATGATTCTCTTTATTAAAAAAATCTTTCAAAAATAAAATTTTTTGAAACTTTGAGGAACATTAGTTGATCTAAAGTTTAAGCTGATTTGAAGCAAATATTACGACTTATTTTTTTTTTCTTTGTTTTCTATCATCTACACAAAGGAAATAAATTTAGAACAAAAAATAAAAAAAATTTGGTGGGTGACTTCTATTACTAAGTAAGTCCATTGGACCCATGGTTGAAATTTTTAATCAAATAAATATAGTCCCTTCTAAATAGGCGCCATTATGCAAAAGCTTTTCAAATTACTCTTTTCCTTATATAATGCTTGGAAAAGATTTCTAATAGTATTTACTAAGACATTTGAAGATGATGCAATACCATCCATTTTATTGCATCATCATTCAACAAGTATAAAAAACGGTGACAGCATGCCAACTATTCATTTGTCTTTTGGTCTTAAAGTTGTAATCATTCTACAAAGTGTTAAAAGCTAAACTTAGAAGATATTTCACAATTGTTATCCAAATTAGATTAAGAGTTAGAAAAAGAAATTAGTGATAAATCTTTTTCCGAAGATGATAATGAAAGTGTAAGCTTTACTTATTCAGAATCGGATGATGATATGAATGATGACAACAAAGTTGACAAATGATTCTTCAAACCATTCAATGATGAATGAAAAATATTCAAAGGATAAGTCTGAAATTTGGTTTTCTAAACCAATTGAAAGGACACAAGAAAAAAAAACTCTATCCTACAGTTTTGCATTTCAAGCCTGGACATTCATGTTTTGCAAAAAGTTCTTGTGATTCAGCTGTTTCATCATTTATATTGTTCATGAAGCTAAATCTCCTGGAAATAAAAAAGAAAAATATACAAATGTTGAAGGAATTCTGGTCTCACAGGTATTGATACAACTATAAACTTTAGTGAGTAATACACTGCCCAAGAACCATCCAATGAAAGAAAGAAAAAAGATGCATGTTGTGGTCAATAAAATGGATAGAAAAATGCAAATTATCATATTTGCCAAAAACATGTCTGTCAAAGCCATTTGAAAGTATTCTCTGCAAGAGGCAGCAGTGAATTGTAATTTTTAAAAAATAATTCAAATTAAGTTTATAATTTCAAAGCCGATGCAAAGATGTATTTTTTCTGTTTCGGTGAATAAATTGTAATTAAAATTTCTTTGTCCATTGATAGACATACTTAATATCATCAAAAAATGTAAAAGGTTTGAGTAGTTTAAAATAAAAAATAGGTGGTATTTAATGGAAGTTGGTTTTCTTGGTAGACAAAGGGTTAACATGGAGATGGATATTTTTATGAGGTGTTGACAACTTTGATAGAATTAGGTTTAGGAATTTTTTGTATGGTTGACATAACTGTAAAAATACTTGACTTATATAATGTGAGCACCTTTTTTTTTATACAAGTTTAACTACTGAGTAATCTTAAACATTTAGAAAAATACTCTAAAACAACAAAAATGTATCTTTCTTTTATTCTATTGATCCTCCAAAAATGAAAACTAGCTTATTTTCTTTTGGAAGGCCAACTCCTTTTGCTAGTTAGTATTGGAAGAAAAATCCATTCTATGTGAGGCTGGCTTAGTTTGCTAGTCATCCTATATCTATATCTGATGGACAGACAAAAATATATAAATTTAAAAAAAAAAAAGTATTATTGATTACACTAAAAAAAACATAACTATTTACTTTATTTTATTTATAAATCCCCAAAATAATCTGATGCTTAACAAGAATATACAGGTATGCATCATAAACATCTTGTTTCAAAATAGTTTTTCAGAGAGTTAATGTATTATTTAACAAAACAAGACTCTCAAAACAACATGTATAAGTGTGTATTATCAGCCCAAGTATAATGGTTTTTGTGCTCCCCACAAAAGCCATTAATTTTATTAATATGCTCCATAAAAAGTTTTTTTTTTTTTCATTTATCTGTTTTTTAATTTTTACAAAAGAAAAGAAGAAAAATTATGTCTCTAGTTGATAAGTAAGGTTTAATCTTTTGTTTGAAATAATGATAATAAAGGAAAATAAAATTTGATATGTTTTAGAAACCCATTAATCTCGTGTGACTGAATGCAAGAAATCCATTTCAATTGGTTTTATGTCTTAAATGCATGTCATGATTACATGGCTTTGACCATGAGAACATTAAGCAGCCAATAAGCCAGACTAGTCAGTGTTGGCATGATTTTAACTTTTGTTTTTATTTCATCTTAAACTATTGTTTTAAGGCATATTTGCTGGAAGTGGTCAAATTAAATGAAATAAAGAGGCCTTGTCTGATGTTTAGCTGGGACAATTTCATCCTTCATTTAACGCCCAATTTTCTATTCCTTCTGTACTTAGGTTCAAATAAAATGAGATCTCTCAATGAAAATGTATAAGCTGTATTTTTTATCTTACCACCATACATTGGCCAGAGAAGGAAAAGCATTGGTCATTCTACAGGTTTGTGTGGGAGAGGGGTATATTAAAAAGTTCCCAGCCCAGCCAAAAAATTCTTCCAAAAAAAATACATTGATCATTTGGTCAGATTTTAAAAAGGTTAGATATATAACATAACTTTCATGTGACATTTTCAAGAAATCTGGAATATATTTAGTTCCCTAACTTAATCTTTTTACAGTTTTAGAGAAATCTAAAGTTTACTCTGCTCATTATTGCTTATGCAATCAGTAAAACTTTAGAAGTTAAGAAAAGGGGTTCCAAATGGACTTGCATGAACAAAAGTCAGTCAGTGAATTTAAAATTGTCTTTCTCTTCTTGCTTGGTGCAGAAAAAGTCATTTTTGAACAAGTAAGCATTTATGATGAGAATCTTAAGATGAAAATCATGACTAAATGTGGGACATCAGCTTTTGACCTCTGACCCTAAATGGATTCTCTTTGGAAAAAGATGTTGACTGAAGTTCAGGCAGAATTCTTGTATTGCTTTCTTTTCCGGAATTCTTTGGCTGCTTTTTTTTTTTTTTTTTTTTTTCATGACATTTTGCTGCATGACCATATTTGTCTTCATGTTGCAAATACAGCACAACACTCAATCTTAGAATAGAAATAGGGAGTTCTGATTGTTTTTTAGATTTGGCATTTTTAGATGATCACATGTCCTCCCCACCTCTGTGCAATAACCCTTCTATTCACTAGGCACTATTCCAACTAGCTAAAGAGATTGAAGAAATACTTGAATCAAAACAAATCATACTTTTATGATGGTAAACAGAAATTTTGTGTAAAATTAAATAGTTTGATAGCTCATCAATAATACTATTTACATGAATAAGATTTTGTTAAAAATTCTGAAAACTTTTGTACCAACCTGGTAGTGCTTAATGTTTTATTCCTCAAATGCTAAAATTCACCATAGTTTCTATATGTAATTATAGTAGTAGTAATAATAATAATAAATAATAATCAACACGCCTTAGGAATATCCCAGCTTATGTTGCATTGCAGCACGGACCAGACACCCGGGTGCAGTTTCTTCCAGTTAAACACTTGTGCCTTTAAAATTACCCTTCAGCCAAAATGTTACCTACAAATGAAGAACAAAGCAATTTCTAGCAGTAAACCAAACTTTATTCTAGGGTTGTAATCTACTGCTATAAGCGAGCAACATAGAGATGAGGCATAAGTGAGGGAGGGTGCACAATTCAGCACCCATGTACCCTGTTCATTCTGTATGGCCTAATTTCATTCCTTCTGTGGGCCTTTTTCACAGGAGGGTCAGTTTTATACACAATAATTTCATCTAAAAAGTAATTTCTTTTTCCGTGACTCTCTCAGTCTGAGCTTCTTGCTGTGTACTTTGAAGTTAACTTTACTTACTGATTAACCATTAGTCAACAGTAAATGTTCCATATCTAGTTTTGTGACCACTCCCGCTGTTTTTCAATTTAACAAGACCTTAGCTGACTCGTATTGCTACACTTATGACTACAGCCCAAGTATTTAAAAAAAAAAAAAAAAAATGACTTCAAACCAGACATGAGTCATTTCTCATATTTGATTGTATGATGCTTGTAAAATCTTAGTGTTGTGGTTTACACATCTGAAGAATCAACATGTTTACTGTACCCAAAAATGTAGTCATAGGTTATTGAGATTGAGAATTCCAATTTTTTTCTTTACCAGGTGATCGACGATTGGAGGCTGGTGCTATGGTGCTTGCTGACCGTGGCGTGGTGTGTATTGATGAATTTGATAAAATGTCTGACATTGACCGAACTGCCATCCATGAAGTTATGGAGCAGGGCAGAGTGACAATTTCTAAAGCTGGGATCCATGCAAAGCTTAATGCCAGATGTAGTGTTCTGGCTGCTGCTAACCCTGTCTATGGAAGGGTAAGTATTTTTGAGTACAGCAATTTGCACAAAGGTATCTCTCTCTCTCTCCCCCTGCCCCCCCAAAAAGGTTGAGTGTTCGCGGTATGATAATACTAGAAACATCAGTGGGAGGCAACTTAATAGGGATGATGATTTCACTCTCCCTTCTGCCTAAAGGTGCTGACCAAGGCTCTGGGCCAATACCAAAAACGGTTTGAAAGGCACAAACTTGCTCTTTTATGGGCATCTCCAAGGTGTGGCTAAACTAAAACAAATCAATTTGCATGCACACAAAAAGACCCTATATGGGCAAAATAAACAGGCCAGATACTTTTCTTTCCTTTTCCCACTAGTATACAAAAAATCAATACTAAAGCATAAGATAAAAACGTCTGCAATAATAAAAAATAAAATAAAAATTTTAAAAAAATCCTTGAACTAGCAGACTGCTGAATAGTTCGACACTTGGAGACATTTTTAATTTTAAGGTACACTGTATCTACAAAAAAATAACAATGTTATTTTGTTTTTTTTTTTTTTTTTTTTTTTTTTTTCCGGTGGTTCTACAACATATATTCTCTAACCATTCTATTATGTCTTCTGAAATGTTGAATCTTGTTCATAGCAAACATATCTCATACCCATGACATGTCTGTTGTTTGTATCTGCATTCTTGGGATTGTCTCTCCCCCCTGATCTTGACACTGCACTAAATTCTTCCCATTGAAATTTTCTTGCATTCTTATCCCTTGGATTATACCTATGAAATACTCCAAGTTTATCATTTCTTTCTTCCTTCCTGATTAATTGTTCTTACAAACTACTAAGCTCTATGCTTGGTCTACTGATTGCGTTGACTGAGCATAGTATGTAGGCAGATTGTTGAAAGAAAATAGTTAAGAGGAAATTACTCTGAACCAACCAAATAATTAGATTATAAAACTTCATCTAACAAAATTCCAGCAAGAATTTGCACGTGCTTCTGCATGGTTGTAAAGGCATCATGTTTGATTTGATTGCAATGGGACAAATTGAAACCCTACTTGTTTGTTTGAAAAAACTTCCCCAAATTTTGTTTAACTTTTATTTTCATTTTTCTTTATTTTGCGAATTGATTGAATTTTTGATTTGTGATTTTGGTGACATAGTAATTGGAAGTTAAATTGTTGGGCTGAACTTGAACACTGTTGAAAACAGTGTAAGTAATAAATGAGCAGTACTAAATAAGAACAAGGTGAAATATCACTCAAGATGGCCAGCAGAACAGGAATAATCTATCCCTGTATATTAAAGAGTGCAGTTCAAAATTCCCAGTTTGGCAAGCACCTGATGAGTGTCAAGAGGGCACAATGGCCAAAACATGATAACAACAAAGAAGATGAGGACATTAGTCTGTATAGTAAATAACTATAAATAGCTATGATGATGTCAGTTTAAACACTTTATATACTATCTTTGGTTTTTAGATTACAAAACTGAATTTTAAATTAACTAATGTCAATCTGAACCTGTTTTGATAACCATAAATATGCAATTGTTCCTTTTTTTTTATGTGAGAATTCACAAAAACATTGTTTATTTTCTTTATATATATATATATATATATATATATATATATATTCAATGCAAAAGGAAGTGTTACATGTTTTCCTTATCAAGTTATATTCCAGTTGTCTATAAATAAGTTTTAATCTTTATTTTATTCTAATATTAGATTTATATTCTTTGATCGTTAAATTGCATTTTAATCTTGCTTCTCTTTTATGATAATAAATTATACTGTATAGTTCCACATATAAGGCAACTTTATAGGTAAGACAAAACCCAAAATCTAGGTAATATTTGTGTGATTTTTATCTGATATCCTTAGTATAAGACAACTGTCTGGGACCAATATGACAAAACTGTAAATGGGAATGTTTATGATGGACTCTTTGAATCAGAAGGTGATGATCATAGCAATTAAAGGGTTTTAATTATATATGTGCATATCTTTTGTTTATGTGTTTTTTTAATGAAACAAAGATTTTATGGCATTTTAAATGTTTTGTTGCATAACACCACAGAAAAATAATACACTCTAATGTATGCTATTGAAAAATGTTTGCATATTATACTAAATGTTGTTATTCAACAGTACTATGAGAAATAATGATTGGTGTAAATGCATACAGAGCTCTACAAATCATGAACAAAAGAGTTTTACATTTTCATGTTGCTCAGCAGAACTTTTGCAAATTGTTTTGTAATTGTTTCTTAAATATTGCATTTTAATGTGAAATCAAGAAGTTTTATTATATTTATAACTAGTACAGCATTATAATACAAATTTTTTCAACTAGTAGTATTTACATTGGTAGTTACCATACTGAAGCTACCACAATCCATGGCACAAGCATACTAGCCTACTTACCAGTGTCAATACTCTACATGATTTGAAGTTAGCTTTTTAAGATTTAAGGGTTGCCTTATATGCAGAAATATACGGGAATTTTCTTTACTTGTCTTTCATTCTTTTTGTTTACCACCCAGTTTAATGAGTGATTTTTTTATTTTTTTTTTTATATTTTTTTTTTTTTTATAATAGAAAGTAGATTGCGAAAATGGGACCCCCTTCAAACTTATTAATTAAAGCAAGAAAAGAGAAGCAAATTATATGGTTATGAAAAGATGTTTGTCATTGTTTTAGGTATGAAACCTAAAATAATAGTCTGCCTCAGTCATTATATTAGTAATATTTTTCTTTTCAGTTCTCTGAAATATTATTTTCATATGTAATATTATTATAATGATTATGGTCATTTAATATTGTATTTATTCTTTGTTTAGTATGACCAATACAAAACTCCCATGGAAAACATTGGACTCCAGGATTCTTTGCTGTCTCGTTTTGATCTGTTGTTTATAGTTTTGGACAAAGTAAGCCTTTTTTTTTTTTTTTTTTTTAACATTTTTGAATACTTTAAAAAGAAAAACATACTATATTTTCTCATTTAAAAAAAATTATTCGGTTAAATTATGCTGTATACTTAGGCCTGAATAATATCACAAAAATTTTAAGATAAAAAACATTTGCATATCTGGAGTTCTTTTCCTTTATTTGATACTTATCGTCTGTCAAATTTATCTTAAAACAACTTTTATTAGATACATTTAACACTTATTTAAACAATGTAATAAAAATCATAAATGAATGATTTTTTTTTTTTTTTTTTTTTTTATCAGATGGATCCTGAGAATGATCGTAATATTTCCAACCATGTTCTCCGTATGCACAGATATCGAACTCCAGGAGAACAAGATGGAGATGGCAAGTTATTTTCAACAAATAAAATAAATTAAAAAAAAAAATATTTTTGAATTTTTTCAGACATTGTTCTTTACTCTTGAATTTAAGGGGGGAAAAAAATGGTATTAGTTCTTAGGAAATGCGTTTTTTATATATATATATATATATATATATATATATATATATATATATATATATATATATATATATATATATATATATATATATATATATGCATCATTTAATTACCTATGTGTGTGACTTGATCATCCATAATGTTCATGTAAACCTATCTTATTTTTGTTTAGCACTTCCATTTGAAGCTCTGTTGATCTTTTGGCTACAAAAGACCCTGAAGAAGAAACTAAAGATGAAGAAGAGACACCAATTTACCAAAAGTATGATAACTTATTGCAGGGTGGTAAAAATAAAAAAGAGTAAGTATCTTAAACTTATATGATTATTATACCTAATGAGAATGCTAGTAACAACAATTTCAGTATTAATTTGCTTGTAATAAAAAAAAAAAAAATTTCTATTTGAAACCAAAAATGGATTTAAAAAGCTGTTTTGATAAGTGCACCCATGCAAGAAAATTCTCTTCTTGCCAAAGATACAAATTTTCAAAAATATTTGAAGAAAATTTAGTTAAAAACAATCCTAAATATTATGCAGTCATATGTTAAAATTTAAAAATTCAAATTTTGAGCTCTGAATCCACCTGTTTTTAACTCTCTCTCGCATCCACGCACAACCACCCCATATTATTTGACTATATGCATTAAATCTATGGCTTTCCCAAGTAAATGTCTAGTAACCACACAGCTTGTGGCTGACTAGAGGCAATTATGTTAGACTTAGACTCTTACTAATCTGCATTTATTGACAACCAGACCATTTTTTTTATAAGGACCTGAAGAAAATTATTTCTTCAATAAATATAAGATGATGTATATTGCAATGAAAAAAAATATTCTTCAATCTCTTCCATTAATAAGCAATAAGACAATCTAACAAGTGTAGAAGGGAAAAGCTATCCAGTATAAAATAAACTAAAATTTTCATGGTTAAAATTTCTTTCCTAAATGCACAAAACTGTTTGATATTTGACTGTCAGTTTAGAGACAGTTACAAGGCCTTTTATTTGGTACCACTTTGATCTTGGATGTTTTCTTATTGTCTAAAATTTAAAAAAAAAAAAATGGTAAACTTAGAATATTTTGTTTCAAAAACAAAAAATGCATCCTTTTTCCTGTTACTTTTTCTATAAAAAAAATAGTTTTAAAATATATCAAATTCACTTAGAGATTTCTGTATGTATATATTGTTTTTTACTTATTTATTAATTTGTTTTATATTTTAGTGATCGTATTGTAACTGCCCAATTTATGAGAAAATACATCCATGTTGCAAAGGCTTTGAAGCCTGTATTAAGCACAGAGGCAGCAGAATTCATTTCTGATGAATACGCAAAACTGAGGAGTCAGGACAGCGTACATGGAGATGCCAGCTTAGCAAGGGTAAGTAGATGAATTAAAAATAATTAGCAGGATTTGGTAGAAGGGTTCCATAGTGGTGCATTTCTGTAGTTCATGAGTGGATGCACCAGGTAATTAATGATTTTAATAATGATAATAATAGTAAAAACAAATATTTGGAGTTCTAAACTATAGCATTAATGATTTTACAAAAACAATTTTGCAAAACATTCTTTCTTACCTGTTATTCTCTCCCCGATTTTAACACTTTAACATCTGTACCAGCTGTAGATAGAGCAATATGTTGGACTTGTATGTTATTTGCTATTAAATTGACTGGATTTTCTTCCTATACCGTAATGGAAGAAGGGAAACTTATCTACTTTAATATTTTGTAAGGAGAAAGTTCTTTCATAAGAAGAAATAACTGAAATTATGTGTACAGTATTAATTGGGAACTCTTATTAGATTGAAGGGATTGTAATCTTAAAAGAAGCTGGGGTGGACTTTCATTCACCAGAGGTGAGTTATTTATACTAGGGTTTTTCAAACTGGGTCCTGATCCTTCAGAGGATTGTGAGATAAATAAAATGAGTCACAAGGAAAAAGAAAAAATATGCAAGGGAGAGCAAAGTGCAGAATATAAACTAAATAAATAAATATGTGTGTATCATGAGAAATATAGATGTAAATTACCAGTGGTATAATATAATGAACCTAGTGAACAGTTTGTCTTTGATTTATCTCACACAGGTATAATGAATCAATGCAAAATGTGGTTCTTGCTGCTCATTGCAGAAAAAAAAAAGTTTGGAAAACGCTGATTTAGACTAATAATTGATTTAACAATGTATTCAGTCTTTTATAAGTTAGAGAGGATGCAACAAATGCATGTTAGAATTCAAGATACAGGAACGCTTGTTTTTTTTTTATTATTATTTTATTTTTTTTAAATTTATGGTGACCAGTGGACATTGGGTGGTGGTGGTGTTTTTTTTTTGGGGGGGGTATATATCCCTAATTGTAATTGCAGTACTTTTCTTAAGAAAAGATATACATTATATGATCCAGAATGTAATTTTGTGGGATTTTCCAAAAGGAGCCTACTTTCAATACGTCTTTTTCCTTGACATGTCTTCCACACAGCCCTCTGGTGGGTTGTTTTATTGGGAGCAGGATATGATTGATTACTTATGAGATCACAATACACCAGAATTACTTCTTTCTTTCCTCCTTTTTATTTTTTTTTATTTTATTTTATTTTTTTTTAAACCAAAAGAAAATACAAATTAGTGTTAATGTATATTGGTGTTTTCCCTAAGCCACTTGGGTGGATCATTTGGGACTCTGGGTTGTAAGGTGAACTTGGTTCTGAGTGACACACCAGTGAGTTGTGGATAATAAATACTACCTATGATATACTTGCTTTATATATGAAACAATGTTAAAACACAGTCACTTGTACCAGAATTAAGATATAGCGTTGCCACCCTGGGACAACAAGGGAAGTGAGGGGTGTTTCACCTATAATTTGAGTGGAGGGTTCAGTTTTATATATATATAATGCACAAAAATATATTTTTGTATATTGTTTTCACTTACATAAAATTTAAATGTAACACAATATAGGTAGAAACAAGTGACTTGCTAAAGAGACTTTTTGTCTTTTATTTATTATTGAAAGAGAAAAGAATAAATGTGCCCAGAAAGGGAAGTGAACCTGTATCATTATATTGTATATCTACTACAATCATCAACTCCAATTTTCATAATAGTTAGAGATATATTGTTTGAAATTAGTTATGATGACTTGAGCTTAGACAACTTTGTTTGCAGCTTGGGTCTCTCCGGGGCTGCACTGTAAGGATAAAATATAACATTTTATCATCATTAATATAGATACCTCTATCCTGAAGAGTTGGCCAATTTGTGCTTAATAATCTTCTATATATTAGTACCTCCAAGAAAGCCATCATAATGATCCTGGAGTTGAGTATGTTATCCCTAAATTTACGATATCCCAGGTATACCACATATTAACAGGTTGAAATCCTCTCTTAGTGTGAAAATACCACTCTTATCAGAATTAAATTTAATTTTCCTTGTGAAACTTACAGGAAAGAGGAATTGGAGATGTAAAATATTTTGCGTTATTCTTTCCCTCTGTGCAAAAAATATTAAGGATTTACTGAGATTTTTAAATTTAGAAAATTTACTGGTTTCATCTTATTCTTGAAGTTTAAAGCTGAAAGCTCAAAGTAACCTTCAAATATGTGATGGTGGAAGATATTAAATGGGTGGGAGAGCTCAAAGCAACTGTTATTAGTAGCATCTACTTCATATGTATACATGTATATGATTATATAACTTTATGTATGATAGGGGCCTATCTATGTATATTTATACCTTTTGTGTGTGTTTATGCGTGTTTTTCTTCACTATTGCTTTCATGTTAATCATTAAAACTACATTCTATGTAACTTAATGGTTATACTTGTTTATAATTTTATTTCTCCTTTTCTCCTAGACACAACCAGTCACTGCTCGTTCCCTGGAGACAATGATTCGTTTGTCAACAGCACATGCCAAGTGCCGTCTGTCTAAAACTGTTGATCTTGAAGATGCCCAAGCTGCAGTTGAACTTATTGAATTTGCTTACTTCAAGAAGGTAACTTTAAAAAATGGCTATTTATTAATTTTTTTTATTTTTTATGAAAATTATAATTCTGTGATTCTTTTTTTATAAGAATTTTGCAAGTTCTGTTTCTCTTTATAAAAATAATTGTATATTAAAATCTATTTAAATTTTGCACTTGAAATTTTCTTCAGGTTTTAACCAGAGAACGAAAAAAGAAACAAAAAGATGATGAAGAAAGTGAAGAAAGCCAAGATGAAGAAGGAGAAAAAACGATAAAATCTTCCAAAAGGTTTGTTCTTCACACATTTTAACTTTGCTGATTTGTGTCTTTTACTTATCTTTGAAGAGAATTTAATTTCAGGGTTCGTACAGATCCTGGGGAAAAAGTCCTGGAAAAACAGCAAAAGCTCCTTGGAAATTCCTGGAATTTTCTAAATTAGGCTACCCACACAAGAAAAATGTTATTTTAATTGTCAGTAATATTTGGCAATTATTGCAAACATTTGTTTGTTTCCTTGATTAGAATGTAGTTACTTCTGTATTTTCTTGTCTAGGTGACAAAAAAGAATATGAAGGCGTATCTTGAGGAAAAGCAAAAATAAAAGGCATCAGAAAGAAGTAAATATCTCTGTTAAAGATAAATTAATTCACACTTGTAAAATTTTACTGTAATAAAATACATTTTAGTAGAATCTTGATAAAGTTTACCGGTGTTTCTTAAAATTTGAACAATTGAAGAAATCTGATTCACATGTCAATTTCAAAAGTAAAAAGTTCTTTTTATCTGAGTCAGCAGTGACCAAGTTCATGCTGAAAAAAGGAACATGTTTTATGTGTCCTATGACATTATACATGTGTGTGTAAACTGTTTTAATCGTTTGAGAATCTTTTGGCTCAAAGAAAATGTAGATGGGAAGGATAATAGAATATAAAAAAATGTGTTTCCTTAGGGTAGATAATGTTTTTGAAAAAGAAAAAGAAAAAAAAACTTATTTGTAAAATTTGCAAGTTCATAATGAACTGTAAAACATCAAGTTTTTTTATATATATATATATATATATATATGTCATTCACAGACAGTACTGTATCACAACTCCTCAGCGTGACTAGACATCCAAAAGCCTCAAGCCAGGATTGAAACCTGACCAATTTGGTGTCGGAATTTCTAAACACCCCACCTCCGACATCGGCGCTCAGCAAAGTCAACGTTCCTAAAATTAGATTACAGAGAATATTTTCCAACATTTTTAAGATTACTGAGCACTTCATTGACCTGTCATTTTCTTAAATTATATTTTAACAGATAAAGTCTCGGAACAACAATAAATCTGTCACCGCTCATCAATCACTTAAGACATGCTTACTTTTGGTTAAAAATAGGGCTACTCTTGGTTTAAAAATGCTTTTCTTTATTTTAAACTTAAGTAAATTATACTTTAAATCAGCTAATATTCATCAAAGTTTCAGAAAAGTATATTTTGGAAGATTTTTTTAATGCAGAGAATTACATTGTGATGAAAGAGGGTGCTAATCAAAATAAATATATATATCTATTTCAATCAATATAATTTCTGTTTTAAATACACCAGAGTATTTTGTGTAAATTTAATCCTTTAGCTTTCAATTAACTTCAAGAAAGCTTTTTCATTTTTTAAAAATTGGCATCCCGAATTAGTAGAGGTCTCAATTTTAGCATGATCATGAAACTTAAGATTTGTGAAAGAAGAGCACTTTAAAAAGATAATTACATTTTCTAAACTGAATGAATTTGTAAGAATTTTGTCAGAGCCAAACCTGCACAAAGATGCTACAAAAATCAAGTGTGGATTTCTGGAAGATAGGGCTATGCAAAATTTATCCCAAAAGATCAGTTTGTCTTTGTTACAATTCTGCATGCAATGTTCATCATCACTATCATTTGGAAACTTCTAGTAAAATCTCCCCTTAGATACCCTCTTGTAAAGTTACTGGCATGGCTGATCCCTGGATTCATTTGTGGAAGAAAAAAAATCTGCCACAGAAAACCATCTAAAAAGATGTCTATTACATAAGGTACAGAAAACAAATCAGCAAGTCTGATTGTGATGACATCATCAGTCAGTACAAAGAGTTTGAGACTGCTGGAAATATTACTTACAAGAATTTCAGCAAACATGAAGTGAAGACTGTCTGGACACTTTGTTCTACTCTTCTTTGTCTAGCAACAAAGAATATCAAAAACTGTGGAAAGTGTCATTCTTGTTTATATTTATAAACACTCATTCCTCTTTCCTCCATGAATATAGCTTTTTTCTCTCTCTCTCTAGGAAAATGGAGTCCAGTCAGCGTAAGCCCCCAAGAAAAGAAGGTGATGAGGGTTATGATCCTTATGATTTTGAGAAGGGAGGAGATGACAAGAGTAAAACTGCTGATAGTGAAAAAACTACAGGTGAGTTTTTCTTTTTAAAAATATTTAAATGAAATGGTATGCAACTTTAGATTATTGTTGAAGTGTTGTTCCCCCCCCCCCAAAAAAAAAAGTAAGGCAAGTAAAGTCACCGAGATGGGAGGGTTAACTGAGTGTGGAAGAATAAGTAAAAGTGAAAATTAAGAGGGAAGAAGGCATCAAGAAAGCAATAACATGCCATTTAAATTTTGAAGATCAAAGTTATTTTTATTAATGATTTTCACAATTTCAGCAAGCTAAATTAAATGCATAGCCATATTTACAATAAGCTGTCAATTGTTTTCACAACCTATATTTTTTAAGTATTTTGATTGGTTCTTGTTGATTTTATATTTTGTCCACATGAAATAAAACAATCAAGGACCTTTCTGGTAATTTTTATGATCATAAGCAGTTGGTATTGGAATCATGTTGGAATTATGGTAGAAAAGAACTTTTTTAGTTTTGACTGTTCACCAGGCAAAAGAAGTTAAGGATGTCTTGTCTGCTGAGATTATTTTGTCACTTTTGGTAAAGGTTAATATTTTTTAATTTTTTTTTTTCAGAAGCTTTAGAGACTGGAGAAACATCCAGCAAGAAACCACGAACAGATGATCAAGAAACCACAACAAAAACACCAATTGCTGAAGAAAGGTAAGATTTTAGCTAAGACATAAAATAATACACCTTAACTGACACAATGAATCAGCATGTTGCAAACGGTTTTTATCTGAGCCTGAGGAAACTGGTATTTTTATGACTACCAGTAAAATTGAGATGCTGTGATTCAAAGTGGCCACCTAGTGTCCATAAGTAGTTAAGTAAATAAATGCATGAAAACTTTGTGTTGCTCATAATAATTGTAAATGTGCTTTCAAAGAGGCTAATCCTTTGGTTGCTGACAAAATGAGGCACCGTATAGCCTCAGAAATGTTTGGTTTGTGTTGACTACTGGTGGCTCTGTAATAGTGGGTTAAGTAAGAGTAAATCTTCTATTTTTTCTCTCTTCACTCAATTTGAGATGTTCTTGTCAGTTGATAAAGCAGAATGCTTTGCTCATTATCTTTTTTAGTTCTACTCTTGACTCATCTGGGGTATTTTTGACTAACTTTCCACTTAGAACTGAGTCTCTATTGAGTGATGTGCATTAAAGTAGGTTGATTTTCGACCTTTTTTTTTTTTTTAATATCAAAAAGAATAACCCGGGGAAATTTGGGTATTTGTATGATAAGTACTGACATCAAAAAGTATATTTGTAACTTGCACCAATTTTTGAGCATTTAATTTAAAAGATTGTCTAATTTGAAGCACTTGAAAATCCTTGTTTTTTATAATTTAGATATGAAATTGTTTAAAAAAATTATAATTTAAATCCAGAAAGGTTTGTTAATTTATATTATTCAAATGAAATGATTACAATATATCAAAAAGTAGCAATTAAAATGAAATTATAACCCCCAACCCCAACAGCTCAGATAAGCTTCATTTTGCCTCATTAATTGAGATACATCAGTAATAACATTGCAAGATATTGTAAAACAATTATTTGTTTTCTGTTATCAATGAAACAAAAGCAAACAAGTATGAACTCTGCTAGCAACAAATTAAGGGATTATTTTAATATAAACTACCATTGTAATTTAAACACTCTAAAATTCTACTGGTTATTAATAGTGGGATTTTAAGTTTCTATAATAATTGTAAAGCATAAAGTTATAAAAGACATGACAAAAAAACATGAATGTTATGAGAATAATAGCAATTTTTATTATTACATCATATCAAACTGCTCTACATAAGTTGCTTTTTTAACTTGTTTACATAAAATATAATTATAGAAATTCATTTAAATTAAAATATTTATGATATTGGGATTTAAATTCATTTAAAAAAGGGGAAAAAATATACAAATAACTTTACTTTATCTTCGAGAGGACAAGTACAGACAATGTGACTAGTCTGACAATTTTCTTTTTTGCACTTCACATTTTTGTTTTCACAACTTAAAATTGGCAATTGACAGGAACAAGAAGAAATGTCAAACAATGCATCCAGCTTTTTTGTCATAATTTTCTTTTGCACTAAAGAGTGACATCTATTTATCTGATGCGCTTTCTTGAAGCAGATCTTTTTATTTTATTTACAATATACTTTTTGGTTAACAGGCAAACGGGGATTAACTGCCTTCCAAATATCAATTATATTGTTTGCCATTAATTTTGAAATAGCAAAGTTTAAGTTTGAACAAGTATTTTTCAGAAAATAACTATACTGGATGACTTGTCGAAAAGTAGGCGGCTCTGTTTTATCTAATGGACAAGGTGGTCCTCCAAATTTTGTAGCAGTAACACTGCGAGTAGAAAGTACAGTTTGTTTTCCAACCATTTTTATAAAAATATCTGGAAAAAAAAATTTTTATTGTTCTTATAAAAAATTAAAGAAATTGAATTATAAATTCCAAAGAGAAATTTAAAAAGCATGCAAAAAAAACAAACTCGTGAATGAAAAATAATGTCTTCAAAAATTAAATATCACAGTGAATATAAAACTATTTCTTTCTTTTTTTTCTAATAATTATCAAAATAAAAAAAAAAAGTAATAGACTCAATTATTTTTGTTTTAAATCAGCTCAATAAACTTGAAACAAATGTAAGCAAAAAACACATGGAAGAAAGATATTTCCGGTGCAGACTGAAAAAAATAAAACAAGCTCGAATTTGTTTATAGTTTATAGAATTTTAAATGAAATATTTTTGTAGTATTTGCTTTTCAATTTACTTTACTTTAAGTTACCCAAAACTACACAATTGGAAATAAAACATTTTATTAAGGCTATTTTCTACTTTTTTTTTTTTTTTTTTTTTTTTTTTCAAAAAACCCAGTGTTAATTTGACCTACTTATCTTTTCAATTAACACTGGGAGAAATTCAGAATATTCGATTATGTTACTATTTAAATGCATTTGCGCAAAAATTTGTAAACTTTTAGAGAAAAATATTTTGTGCACTTATTCTTTGTTAATTAGCAACTTTCTCTTGGTAGAGTTAGTTGTGGTTTCAAAATTGAGTTACCCTAATGTGCATATAACTCCATTCATGGATTCCTACAAAGTATTTAGGATTGATGGTATCTCTGCAATAGTTTATAAGAAATGTGCTCCTGAACTGGTTCCTGTTCTTTCTAAACTCTATAATAAATGATTTGCTTCTTGTTTTCCTATTTGTTGGAAATCCTCTGCTGTAGTTAGCTTTTAAGAACTCTGGTGGACTGTCTGATCCTTCTATTAACCTTCTACTTCTTTGTGGCTACGTACTAGATGCTCTAATCAACTCTGAATTGGTTAAGCATCTCACCTTGCAAGCTCTTTCAAACAAGCAATATGGCTTCTGCTTCTCTAGGCCAACTGCTGATTAACAGTTATTGCTGAAAAGAGTTTATCATGCTTTAGATAAGAATGGTGAAGATTGAGCTGTTACTTTGGATATCTCAAAGGTATTTGACAGGATTTAGCATGCTGATCTTATGTTGAAAGGTTAATGTATTTCTGGATGAATTTTTTGTTCTGATTTACTTTTATCAAATTGCGAAATGAAAGTTCTCTAATGGCCACTCTTCTAGATCCTTTTGTATTAATGTGGGTGTGTGTGTCAGGGCTCTATCTTTGGACCTATGTTGTTCCTAATTTTCATCAGCAACCTTCCTGATATCATCAGTTCTCAATTCAGTATCTATGCAAATGACACGGCTATTTACTTAGTGGTAACTCTGGTTGTTTCAATAAGGTAAGATTGACAACTGATTTAAAAAAAACTACCTACAATGTGTTTGTGATACTATGGATACCCACATAGAAGGGAAAGGAAGAGGCAGGTTTTACCTCAATCTCATGTGTTTGATAGACCAGCAGATAATTCCTTTTGAAGTTTAGTTTTCTAAGTGGCATCCACTTTGACTGTAAGAAGTGGATGAAGGATTTTTGCAGATCAAGTGGCAACAAAACTTGAAATGGATTATATTGGGATGTTGCTCTATATTAACAGTTATGTTTGGGATCAGGGAGAGTACTAGCCTGCCCTTGGTGGGAGGCAGATGTGTCCGAATCCTCCATTTTCATAATGGTATCTACCACGTTAAGATGAGTAGATGGGCAAAGAGTTGGGGGTGGTGGGGCTGACAAACCAGAAGTTGTTCCAAGTATCACCTACCTACCCACCTCAGCGAGCTGATGGCATCCTGTATAAAACATTTATATATAATATGATAAACAAGGTTCAAGTTATTATTTCTGGACATGGGTTTTTTTTTTTTCATCATATTACCTTGTAGGCATGCATTGTGCTCTTCAACTTTTGGAATATAGCTGAGATGGAAATGTAACATGGGTTGATCATTGGGAGGTTGGGTCAGGATCGTGTTGTATAACTATAACTGTTAACTATATCAAGAAAGGGATTTTCAATTTAACGCTACAGAGAGCCTTTTTTTTTTTTTTTTTTTTTTTTTTTCTTCTTGCCTTCTATTTGCATGGTTGATGCTAACCTTTATGAAAGTGACTCATTGTGCTTTCTCTGGCTAATGTTTTCCACAAATGTTAAGTGAAAACATTATATTGAATAAATTGCTTGAAAAGTTGGTTCACTGTCATGCTGAACAATTTTTCTCTCCAGAATCTATCTTAGGAATTTATAAGTCTACTATTTGTCAAAGCTTTAAATATTGGTGCTACATCTGGTCTAGTGCTACTGTTATGCATGTTAGAGAAAGAAGAATCTGTAATATTATCATTCCTGGCCTGGTATCTAAGCTTCAGTTACTTTCCCCACCAGTGTAATGTAGCTTCCCTGTGCCTTTTCTCTAAATATTTTATAGTAATTTTTCTGATTAGCTTTCTTTAAGTGCAGTACTAGATTGGCACCTAGGTCTCATTTTACAGTTGAAATGACTAGAAGTAATCAGATGTTCTATGGTAACAGTTTCTTCTCTCTCACTTCTTGCTTGTTGAACTCTTTTTCTGGCTTGCTTTCCAGTTAAATTTGATCTTCAAAAATATTAATGCGATGTCAATTGTTATCTTCTTTCTTCTTAATTCCTGTTCTTTTATTGTTCTCCATCCTTATTAATCTTTTTCCTTTTCTTTTACACTCGGTAACCCCTTGCATCTTATGGCTTCATTACATTGTTTTGAGTGAAATGTTTTCTTTTTTTTATTATTATTATTTAATTTTATATATATATATATATATATATATATATATAATAATTAAAAAGGGTGTGTGGGGTTAAATGCCAGTTGGGTGGAAAGTAGGGGATTCCAGTCAGAAGCAGTCTATTAGCAAGGGTGACAAAATCCACTGTCATGTAGAGGTAGTCAGAGAAGAATTAGTCAGCAGTCATGAGCCATTCATCAAGAAGTAGATAATTTCAGCCAGAGATGAGCAGAAGGTCATTCAGATTTATTGTTAAAATGAAGACCAGGAGACAAGCAGCAGCAACGCTGTCCCTAGTGTCACCTACCTAACTACCTACCCCAGACCACATCTTGGAAATCCAGGAATAAAGATCCCAGTAGATTGAAAACATTTCACCTTCCATTTCTTTGTTGAATGTACACCAGGCCTTTTTTCAGTTTTTGCTCACATTGATATAAATGGGAATGAAATACATTGTTGCATGAAGCTACCCAGTTGGTGAATAGTGGGGGGACTACATGAGAACGGTGCTTATGTGTTTACAAAAAAATCTAATTTTAAATTTTTTCTTTTTCTTTTCCTCTTCCATTTCTCATCTCATCACCCTCTCCTCTTTTCTCCTCAGTTTGTAATTTCATTTTTATTTCTGCAGGTTGAAAATCTTCAAAGCGGGCCTGTTTGAAGTGTTCAAGGCAGAACGAGCACAGTCAGTGACATTGGACAAAGTACGCGAATTTGTCAACAACATACATTCTGATGCACCCTTTAATGAGGATGAACTCAAGGCTGCCATCAACAAAATGATGGATGACAATCAGATTATGTTGGCAGACAATGTGGTCTTCCTAATTTAAGTCTCTTGTAATTGAGACATTATGTGACTTATGCAAAATATATGTACAGATTATGTTAGGAACAACCATTTTCTCAAATGTTTTATAAATTATCTGCAAGCCAGATACGAAGCGATTGAAAACAAGAGTAAGTTCAAGAAAATCAGACTTGGAGAAAAGGAACCTTGGAGATTTTTCAAGTTTGTCAGTTTTGCAATTAATATTGCAGTTATACATAAACAATTGAATAAAGACTTGTCATAAGAGTTATGAAATTGATAAGATCACATTATAATATGAACATTTTTTTAAGTCTCTTCATCTTCTTGATATAAATAGATTTATCGAGCTGAAAATGTTATTAGTTTCTACTCTTGATCAATTTTGTTTTTACCATACACTTGATTCATATGCTAAGGTATTAATCTCATTATTTTTTTATACAAAGATGTCTCTTTAGATAATAAAGTAAACTTTCTTTTTTTTTTTAAAAAAAAAAAAAAACATGTTAAAAGATCTTAGTTTTGTTTTAGTCTTTATGGATTTTTCTGTTTTCTAGGATCCATCATTCCCATTGCCACACAAAATGGTCTAATGCTTTTTCATTCACAAAAGATAAGTTTTGAGGGACAATTTTCAAAACAGTGAAAGTTAATTTTAAAATGTTTGACACTACATCCACATTTGGATACAAATGATTCTTATGGAATTTTAAACCATTTTCTTTTGGATCCATAGTTGACAAGCTTACAGAGAGATGGCAATTTCCTATTGCACTAAAAAGTATAGACTCCAGATTACTCATTGATGTATGCAAGAAAAACTTAGAACCCGGCTTTTTTTTTTTTTTTTTTTTTTGCTTGCTTGGTACCTAGCCATGTGGGGGGAAATATAATGTGCGCGTGCACACACACACACAAAGTTGCAGTTGCCTAATCCACGTGTCACAATCTGTATTCTGTTTGGTCATTGAGACGTGAATTTTTGGAAGTGGCTTATATAATCAAGCATTGTGCAAAGTCAGGAAAAGAATCCTAGTAATATACCGAGTATATTTTCTGCCACACTCTTCAATTGAGGTATAACTTTTTGGGTACAGATCCATGTTCTCTTGATCAATGGATGCCTGCATCATTTTTGCCTAATTAGAATAAACTTTTTTCAATTTTATGCTGTGAAATTCAAATTGTAGAATGGTGATTTTGGGATTCTAACTTCTTTTTAACATATATCGGATAAAGAACATTTGAACAAAGACTGGTGTTGGTTGTGGATAACAGAAGCTTTGCACAATATGCAATTTTGGAAGAAACAACGGAATGAGAAATGAAAGATTACCCCCTCCCCTCTCTCTCTCTCTCTTTTTTTTTCCAAGCAGTCTCATCTTTTGTTGCTTTAGGGCGCACTTGTAGATTAACTAAAACTCTGGGGGCGCACTTGAAATTTTAATAAAGAAACATTAGTAATGAAATCTGAAATAAGCATTTATTTTTAAGACCTTACACTGCTTGGTGTCTCTAGCATTTAAAAAAATAAAGATATATATATATATATATATATAATTCATAAATTACTCTTCTGTCAGATTTGGGTGCACATGGCCATCTTTCAGTACGCATTAGAATGCTTGTGTGCGCCAGTTGAGAAAGGCTGGATTAAAGTATTAACCAAACACTAATATTTTTTTCTGTATTGGTGATTTGTGAATAGCAATGTCATTACACCAGAAGAATAACTTGGTACTTCATTAATAAAGCAATGCAAAATTGCTTAATTTAAAAAAAAATATAAACTCATTTAATTTTGGCATGTCTAGTTGTTCAGAAAATGTATTCTGTGGCAGTGGTCTCCAAGTTTGTTTTTGTTTTTTTTTTTTTTTTTTTTTTATACAACACCAACTTCACACCAGACAATCTTTCCACATGCTGTTACTGATGTGTAATTTAAGTGCATTATGATAAAAAGAGCAATAATAAAAGACAATTTATTAAAGGGGAGAAAAAGTGTATAATCTTTTGTCTCTCCTGTCTGGCCTCCAGCCGAACCATACTTTTGTTTAGTTTCCTTGAATCAATATCTATTACACTATTGTCACATCAATATCAACTCACCATAATGTAGAATCTGAAAATTATTACAAAAAGTAAAAATATACATTTAATTGTAAAATGTACTTACAGTAGATAGTATTGAGTAGATGAATATTTATAAATCTTTTTTTAAATTAAAGTTCTATATTCAATTTATATATTATATAATCTTAAACAAGTTAATTATCTTTGCAGCCCAGTAGCAAATGATTCATGTATTGGTCCGCAGCCTGGTGGTTGGGGACCTCTGCTCTATATCTTTGTATTAAAGCAGATCCTCATCAGTACATAAAGAGTGATGTCCTTTCAGTTTGTTATTTTCATCCCTACTTATTTGGTCTTGGACTAAATGTACCAAGAAAGAACTGACTGTAAACAAGAAACCTGAAATTAGTTTACATCTGCTGTTCACCTAATTTAAAATGACACTCTATTTGTGATAGTTTCAGTTTGAGAATGACCCAAAAAACATTTCCTCTACAATGCACAAACCAAAAGGTGAAAGAGCAAATCTCTTCTCTCACAATGACAAAACTACTTGTAATTTTCTAAAGTATTGAATGACTTTAGAAAAAGAGATTTTATGACTTAATGTCTGCCAAGAGAGAACATGATTGTTCCTGCAAGGAACTCTTGGCCAACACTTTAATGTTTAACTAAAGGATAGGATTTTATTTGTATAAAATTTCAGTACATAGGATATTTTGGAAATGTTTTAACTCTCAATATAATAATTATGTTTGCAGACACTAAATAATAACAACTATTATGGGAAAAAAAGTATATTTTTAATGTCAATGAAATATTTAATAAAATTACAAATTGACATCATTTTATACACACACTGTTGCAACAATGTAAATTGATAATCTTCATAACAATGGCAGCAAACAATTTTTAAACTATATTGAGAAAATCAGAGGGTGACTATCATAATGGTAGAATTGTATATAGTTCAGAATTTTAATTTTTTTTTTTTTTTTTGAATCCTGTGTAAATTTGTAAACTAATAGAAATTCAAACTTTAAATTTAATTCTGAAGAAATTAAGTGGGTGAATCTTAACATTCATTTCTTTTTTTTTTCTTTTTTTTTACTTTTTTATATATATATATATAAATATAAATAGGTGCTAAAACGATCTCCACTTGACCCACAGTTGAAGGCATTCAATTGAATGCAAAATATATCTAGTTGAAGCCATAAAATTGTGGTCGAAATATTTAGATATCAGCATTAAATAACCTATAGAAATTGATATACTGTTAAACAAAATCAACCCACCAATGTTTAGGAAGATGGGCTTCCATACCTTAGAGAAATAAGAGGAGGAACAAGTGGTGTTCCTGGATGTACTTGCATAGAGGATGGATTCAAGATTCACTGGACAATACCTGAATTTCAGTTCCTGCCATCCATACAAGAAAGGGGTCACCAGACACATCAACAAGAGATCACCAGCATTAGGGAAAAAAAAACTTTCAGGGTAGCAACTACACTGAAAGTATAACATTATTTATTTTCCACGAGTAGGGTCAGGTGAAATAATAAAAGAAAATCTGCCAGTCTCCCTACCATATATAAGCAGGACATGTTACGGTAATCAAAAGTAATTCAACCTTTCGACAATCTCTCTTAAGCCAAGCAACCCCCCTCCCCCGAAGAATACATGACCAAAAATTGTATATTTGATTCCATGTCAGTTATGACAAGGCATACAATGGAGAAACTAGCAGCTCCCTAAAAGCAAAGTAACGTGAAAAAGCTGTTGTCCAGGGAGAGACATTGAAATCAAGATAAAATAGAGAATAAAACAAACCGAGAGAATTGGCATTATGCGTCAGTCACTGACGACTTCCTCAGTGGACCCAGCAAGAATCTAGCTTAGTCTAACTTAAAATTTTCTTTTTCAAATTATGCACCAAACTCGGCCTGTCAAAAACACAACTTATGAGCTTTGCATTCGTATTCTTGATTTTCTTTTATCATGAATGGCGTTCTAACAAAATTTACAAGTGTAATTTATTAGTTATTTCTATATAAAAAAAAAAAAAACTTTTTTAAAAGCTAGAGACGCTAAGCACAGCTTCCATATCTAATTCAAGTTTTTGCTATTTGATATTTTAATCTGAAAGCTAAATTCCTTAATCTTTAAAAAGGAATGGATAATCCTTTCATTCTTGCCTTCCTCAAGGGATTTAAATAATTCGTTATTGGCCTCTCTAAAAAACAAAAATAGAAGATTCTTCATAAATCTTTTTTTAATAAAGACTCTACTGGTTATCTTTATGGGGGACTACTAAACCAAAATTTAATATGTTTAAATTCCATGACTAATTTTTCATTATTAAAATTTAAGTTGTACTCCAGAGATTTAGTTATTCTTCGAGAACGCCCTAAAGTTTAAAAAAAAAAAAGATTAAATTGGGAAACATTGCTTTGCTGGAACTGATTATCACATTTTATGGTTTTTGTAATATTTATTTAATAGTTTGTTTTTTTTTGTTGTTGTTTTTATTTCATGATTTTCATTGTGTGAAGTTTGAGTCGTGAATGAAACAAACTAAGCGTGTGTCTTTTGTAGTGATTATTAATGATAAACTAAACAAAGTACGTGATTTAATATTGGTGTTCATGGGAGTTTTGTCAATCAGGAGATAAGAATGAATAACTTAGCAGTTACGTACATTTAATAACATATTTTATTGCTTTAGCAAACTAAATAGAAAAGAATGGAAAAGGGATAAATGAAGGTGACATCTTTTTGTACGTAAAGTCCTATTAAATATGCCTGTAAGCTTAGGATTTATTTGGGAGAAAAGTAGAACATCAAATCAAATCTCTTATGCTGAGTATTTTGTATGGCACAAATGAGAAAATACGAGACTTTTATTCTGGTGTGAAATGTTCAGAAAAGAGAAACAAATAGTAC